ACATATGACAGGGGAGTCTAACAGCAGAAGATATAGTGAATTCTTGGCCAGAATCTGAACTGGGGAGAGTCCTACGGGATTATGGTGAAGAAAGCAACTGGTATTCACTTCAAAATAGAATTGTTAAGGCTCGACTTAATGGCGGGTTACATTCTACTGGTGAACTAGTTGATCTCATTCGGAATATGTCACCCGGAAGCATAGGTATACATATCATTTGATTTTCTGTTTTTGACTTATATGACCATAATCTATCTTAGCATGATTTGCATTTGCATCTCAATGCGAGTTCCAGTTTGTGTTCCTAGTCAAAGATTTGGTTGCCAGGTGCAGAAAAGAGAAGAATAAGTAAGTGTGAGTGATAATCCTTTCAATCTTATTAATTTCGATTTCCGTTTGAAATGCTGTAGGAGGCAGACAAGGTTGGATAAAAACAGCAACACGTGTGTTTCAAGGCCTAAGGATTGCAGTGAACGACGAACTCAAGACGCTACAAAACTCTCTATACTCGTCGTTTGATGTTCTGTCTCCAGGTGGGAGACTAGCAGTCATCTCCTTTCACAGTCTGGAGGATCGGGTTGTTAAACAAACGTTCCTAGACATCTTAGGGTTTCAAAGAGAAGAGATCAACGGAGAGGGAAGTAGTGTAAAACCGGAAAGGCAAATCGAAGAAAGTATAGAGAAGGAGTTGAAAGATAAAGACACATGGATCAAACAGACAGTAATTGGGTCGAAAGGAGCGATACTTACAAAGAGACCAATAACGCCTTCAGAAGAAGAGGAGAGACTGAATCGCAGAGCAAGGAGTGCTAAGTTGAGAGTGATTCAGAAGTTGTGATTGCTTTATGAAATGCTTTTTTTATTAGTAGATGGAATTCGTCAAGTTCGTTTTAGAACTAGGACTATCAAAATTTCAAAGCTCCAAAAGTTTCCATTCAATTAGTTCATGTTTTTGCTAGATGAATTAAATTTACAGGAAAACAGGTTAATTCACTAAAAACATCTGTACCAAAATATTTATGGTTTTAATCTCTTACCAAGTTCGTATAAACAATAATGGAAATCAAATCGATTCTTCTAACAAAAAAATATTTGAAAAACACTGAAATCAATAGAATTGTTTGCTGAAAATTGAGAAATCATAATTAAAACCATATTAAACCAAACAGAATGATGTTCAATCTTCGAACCAGACCGGTTAAAATGTTTCGTTTGATAATATCACATAAGTGTCCGACGGACTGTTGTCGCCGCAAAAACCCATTTTGGACACTCCGAAACCCTTCTTCTCCTCCAGCTACTATTCAATGGGAGCAATTGATCTCTCTTTCTCGCAGAGTCTGCTCGTCTCTCCGTCGCGTTCGACTCCTACCTCCTCCACTCACCGTTCCATCTCTTTTCTCCCGCCGGGAAGCAGCAAGTCACGGGGTCTGCCGCCTTTGCGTTCAATGAGCCACGATGACGACACAGCCTCAAAGGAGGCCAAGCTATGGGGAGGAAGGTTCGAAGAGAGTGTCACTGAGAAGGTGGAGAAGTTCACTGAGTCAATTTCATTCGATAAAGTTCTCTACAAGCAGGACATTATGGGTAGCAAAGCTCATGCTACAATGCTCGCTCACCAGGTACTACTTTGCTTAGCTTAATGCGTTGTTATAACTTCATCTGTAGATTTAATTCGAATTGTGAGATATCCGGGTTGAGATCATGATTTGTTTTAGATACAAATGGTTGATTTATGCTTAATTTTATATCTTCTAAGTTATATTAAAGTCGGGACAAATCCGGTGGCTTTTCTTACAGGGGCTAATAACTGATAGCGACAGGGATATCATTTTGAGAGGTCTTGATGATATTGAGAGTCAGATTGAAGCTGATAAATTTGAATGGAGGACTGATCGAGAAGATGTGCATATGAACATTGAAGCAGCTCTTACTGATCTTATTGGTGAACCTGCAAAGAAACTTCACACAGCACGGAGCAGAAATGACCAAGTTGCTACTGATTTCAGGCTTTGGTGCCGTGATGCTATCGATACAATCATTGTTAAAATCAGAAATCTTCAGACAGCACTAGTTGCACTGGCTTTGAAGAATGAGGCGTTGATTGTTCCTGGTTATACTCATCTTCAAAGGGCTCAGCCTGTTCTACTTCCACATGTCCTCTTAACCTTTGTTGAGCAGGTTTGATTTTCTTTTTTGCTCAAGCTTTAGTTTTGCTTTGAGTCGCTTTTTGTTTAGTTTTTTGGTGAGGCTATATTTGTAAAGTTTGGCAGCAGCCAACAGCAATTTTTAACCATAATTTGCTTTACGGATTCATCTTCTGATTACTGTGGCTCCCTTTGGTGATTATGCATTGATCAGCCTGTGTCTTAAACCATCATAGGTTCTTACATTTGCTGAGATCTCTCTGATACTATCATCTTATATGTATATAGTTACATATTTATTAGTCTTTTCCTGCCTCAGAATATCATAGGCTTCTTACATCTACTTTCGTATTATCATCTTATTAGGAATTTACCTTGACTGGTTTTTTGTTCATGTATGGCAGCTCGAACGTGATGCCGGTCGTTATATGGACTGTCGAGCAAGGCTAAATTTCTCCCCCCTAGGAGCTTGTGCTTTGGCTGGAACTGGTCTACCTATTGATAGGTTTATGACTGCAAATGCTCTTGGATTTACCGAGCCAATGCGAAACAGGTATGTTCCTAGTTCTTGTATTGGCTGCATCAACTCTCTCTAGTCTCTAACTATGTCCTTCTCTGTAGTTTTACACTTTCTAATATATAAAGTCTTTTTCTTCTTTATTTCAACTAGCATCGATGCAGTTTCAGATCGAGACTTCGTTTTAGAGTTCTTATACGCAAATTCCAACACAGCCATTCACCTGTCGCGGCTGGGAGAAGAGTGGGTACTTTGGGCATCCGAAGAGTTTGGTTTCATGATTCCAAGCGATTCCGTCTCAACTGGAAGCAGTATAATGCCACAGAAGAAGAATCCAGACCCAATGGAACTTGTCAGAGGAAAATCTGCAAGAGTCATAGGCGATCTGGTCACCGTCCTGACATTGTGCAAAGGACTTCCCCTTGCTTATAATCGAGATTTTCAAGAAGATAAAGAACCGATGTTCGATAGTGCCAAGACAATAATGGGAATGATCGATGTCTCTGCAGAATTTGCCCAGAATGTAACATTCAACCAAGAGAGAATTAAAAAAAGTCTCCCCGCTGGACACCTTGACGCAACAACTCTTGCCGATTACCTTGTGAAGAAGGTAATGTCAATTGTTATTCATCAAACTCTTACATATTTGTGAATACAGTCAGAAAGATAAATACTATATTATTTGTTTTTGGTTCTCAGGGGATGCCTTTTAGGTCATCTCATGACGTAGTTGGAAAACTAGTAGGAGTTTGCGTCTCAAGAGGCTGTGAACTTCAGAACTTAAGCCTTGAAGAGATGAAAAAGCTGAGCCCTGTGTTCGAAGAAGATGTGTTTGGATATTTGGGGGTTGAAAATTCAGTCAATAAATTCAGTTCCTATGGGTCTACGGGATCAAACTGTGTAGCTGAGCAACTTGGCTACTGGGTCAACAAGCTGAATATGACTACCACCTGAGCCCTGTGATCGAAGAAGAATTGATGAGATTTGTGTAATTTACTTTTCTTAATGAGGATTTTGGTTGTCAATACCAGGAAGCTTTCAAGTAAAAAATGTTGCAGCAGATTTGAGGTAGACATTACTACATTGGTCCTTCCCGTTGCAAAACCCCAGAAAAAATAAGTTATATTGAAGTTTTGTAATATTTGAAAGTTAGATATTGTGAAAGTGTTTGGTATTCTTCTCATTATTCAATTGCTCTCTACAATATCAATAGGTTTTTCATTTTTGGATTCTATAATGGGCAGAAGAGTAGGAGAACCAAATATCAAACTATATGCATTGGGTTTTTTAGAATTGTTTTTTGCAAACCCAATTACAATACTGTATATCCAAACTCAACTAGTCAAATACTAGTGGATGGCATTTGGATGTGATTTTTTTTCTTGAACATGGGAGGACCCTACACGAAACCCCATCTTCCTTAGAAAGTGCAACATCTGTTCCGTTACATGTTATGTAACTTACATTGTTCCAAAATGTCATTCTCCATTTTTGTTATGACCAAACACAGATTGACACAAAGATATACCAGTAGTAACCTCATTGGTACTTCTCTTCTCCAAAAATAGTTAAATCTAATCTAACATAAACACTCCTTTTCATTCTCGATTTAATAATATCCCATTTGATGGTTGAGTCACTTTCTTGACTGTGATACAATCCTTGTCCTAAAACTCCCATGTTAGCCACTGATTGATGTTTTTTTTTTAAATAGATTATTGGTCGGATATTAATTATGGTGAAAGCTCCATCTTCTTTTATCTTCTTATTTGTAACACTCAATGGATTGAGTTTACTGGTGAACCTCATTTATCTTATTATCTTGACTTTAATCCTCTGGTTTTTGTTTGTATTCATTTTAACTTCTTTAGGGTGGATACTTCTCTGTCACTGTAGTATTAACTTCTACGCCATTAATTCTTACACGATTGGGTCTCTTCCAGTTTTGTAGATGTTGCAGTCGATATGTGTTTTGTCTTTAGGTAACGATTGGGTTTTGAATATATGTTATATAAAACATAACATATGATCGTTTGCTCATTTTAAGCAGAAAATTTTAGATTATGTCAATCACTTCTCTTATCTCCCTATCTCACGCTTATGCCCAACTACTACCATTGAAGTTAGGACATGTCGTATAGATTAATCAGAAAAGTCTGCGGATAAATTAAATCGATTTGTTGCGACTTTGTCCTCTCCACTAACTCGAAATAATATTCGTCAATGATATGCACTTTGTAACAGAAGGTGGATCTTTTCGAAGTCTTTAAGACACTCAACGTGTCAATCTTCTAAACCAACCAGAATCGATCGATTAATTATAACTTAAACCCAAATTAGAAGAAAACCCAAAATTTTATTAAACCAGAGAGAAATTGAAGGTTCAATGTAACAGTTCTCATAAACGGTACTACTACGTTAACCCGAAAGCCGGTTAAATGAGAACCGGTCAACGAGAATCCATGGATGAAGAAGTGGTGTTGTTATTATTATCGCCGTGCCATGACCAGACGATGTCGTTTAACGCCGGCCGTACTTCTTCTTCGTACAACTTATCGTACTCCAACGTATCTCCCGCGGATTTGCAGAACTCCACCACCGATATCTCCGGCGCTACTTCGAAAACTTCCGCCGTCATCGACAGCCTTCCTTTTCTCCCTTCCGTTTTCCCTTCCATCTTCACCTTGAAATCCTTGGTTCTCTTCACTTTCATGTTCATCTCCTTCGTAACCGTTTCGATCTTCTCCATCACCTCCGTCGCCGACGACCGTGACGTGAACACCGACTGAACCTTCCTCTTGCTCTCGAACAAGCTCGACAGATCGAATCCGGAAGACATCGAGGAGATGAATTCGAAAGCGTTGAAGAATTTAGGCGAAACCGGCTCTGTTTGATTTTCCCAATCTACGCCTTCTTCTTCTTCTTCTCCGTTGTTGCTCTGAGAACAGATCGGTTCTTCGATTTTGAAAGCTAATGGCGGAGTGAAGTTTTTCCGGAGCCAAGACGTTCTCATAATCGCCGGAATCGAGATCCGGCGATCTGGATCTACGACGAGGAGTTTCAAAATCAATCTCCTCGATTCCGGGGAAAACCACGGCGGAAACTCAAAATCCGCTCTGAAAATTTTCCGGTACATGTTCATCAGATTCTCGTCCTGAAACGGCAAACATCCGGCGAGGAGAACATACAAAACGACGCCGCAAGACCAAATATCAGCTTTAGCGCCGTCGTATCCTTTCTTCCGTAAAACCTCGGGCGCAACGTACGCGGGAGTCCCGCACTGCGTATGAAGCAGACCGTCTTGAAGGATCTGCTCAGGTAACGCGGACAATCCGAAATCGGAGATTTTCAGATCTCCGTTCTCATCTAGAAGAAGGTTCTCCGGCTTCAGATCGCGGTGAGAGACGCCTCTGCTATGGCAATAATCAACGGCAGAGATAAGCTGGTGGAAATATCGACGAGCGGCGTCTTCGTGTAGCTTGCCTTTGGAGATCTTGCAGAAAAGCTCACCGCCTCTAACGAACTCCATGACGAAGAAGATCTTGGACTTGGTAGCCATGACTTCTTTAAGTTGGACGATGTTGGGATGACGAACGAGCTTCATGATAGAGATCTCGCGTTTGATTTGATCCATCATACCAGGTCTCTTCATTACTTGGTCCTTGTTGATGACTTTGATGGCGACGCACTCGCCGGATGTGATCTCTCTCCCGTAGTAGACTTTTGCGAAGGTTCCTTTGCCGAGTAGCCTTCCCATCTCGTACTTGTCGAACAGAATTCTCCGTTCTTCCTCCATTCAAAAATTGGTTTCTGATTAACTTTTGTCTTCAAGGGAAAATGAAAAGAAGAAGAGAAGATATATGATGAACTGAAGGAAGAAGAAGGGAGGGTTAAGAGAACCATGAGGTTAGGTTAGTATTGTGAGTACATGACAAGGTATTATTACACTCGTAGAGCAATTCCATGTTGACCATGGAGGGGGAGCTCATGTAATTGTACGGGGGGGAGGGGAAGAAGATGCAGTGTTGAAATGAATGACAAAAGGAGTAAACAACACAGTTACGTTTCAACCCACTCACACATGTCACACCACAATACATTTACTAGGCTTCTATAATAGTGAAAAAATCAATTACAAAAATAGAACCGAAAAAAATAGAAAAATACTTTAGTTTATTGAAATATGGTTATCGTGTAAAACTAATATTGTTTTGGAGTTCATAATATTTAATGTTTTTGTTATAGTGATAATTACACAAATTTTTGTATACCCTTCCTAATTTTTCTACATATGTTAGATAAGTTTTTACAAAAAATGTTAGATAATTTTTCTACATATTTAATGTTTTTTACTCTCTCTCTTTTTTTTTCTCTTCTTAATTTGTTAATTAATTGGCCAAAAATAGGTCTTATTTTTTTCTTATATCGTTAACTCACTGAATGTTACAATATATCATTTTGTAATGAAAACAAAAAAAAAAGAGAGCATTAAAACAAGTAAACAACAATCAACGTAAAAGGAAATTAATAGGCAAACAATAAATAGCTAATTGTTTACATGTCATGTCAAACTTTCTGAATCAAAAATACGAGATGTGTGAAATAAAACTCTATGTTATTATCATCAAATAAGAATATGCTGTTTCGTAATTGTATTGGGTCAATCGATAATAGAATGCTATATATGGTTCCTAACATTTTATTAAAGAAATTCATTTTCCTGAATAATATTGTGGGGGAGAAAAAAAGGAAAAAGTTTTATCAATTATTTGGCAAGAAAAATTTCCTTAAAATAATAAGCCAATAATAATACTATCCAACGGTCTAATGCCTTTTGTCCCCTTATCTTATGTGGTGGTTCCACCCAACCTTTCTTTTATATACAAATTTTATACTCTTTTCTTAAGTTTAAAATCATTTCATAAACTAGCATACAAATTAATTTTCTGGTGAGTAGTAGCCTAGGAAAATTCTAAGTTACATTAACCATACAAAATGCTAAAAAGTAAGCACCCCCTTTTGTAAGATGAAAGTTAAACAACGCTAATCGCTTATTTTATGGGGATGTCACTTTCTTCAAAGTAGGGAGATCTATTGTCTTCACCAAGGAATGTTTTAAGATCTACTCATGAACATCAGGAATTAGTATTTTACTAACCATTATTAACTGCATTATAAAATCATTAATCAAAATTTATAAACGTAAAAAAATGAATAAGAAAGTACACTAGGTGGTGGCAGAGACAAAATTGGAGCATCGCTGGTCTAAATTCATACTAAAGTCTATTTTTGAAAAGTGTCGAGATTGGATACATAAACCCTTTTGACCCTATTAGTGTGTGTGCTGTCTCCAACACTAAACAGAAATGAAAAAGAAATTAAAAAGGTTGATTTTTTCACAGCCAAAAGAAGCCAATATCGAACTGTATGTACAACACAAACACACAAAAAAGAGCTTAAAGGAAGCTATGCATGGAGTTTTACAGAGAGAAAGCTTTTGTTACATTTGAAACCTAATCAAACACCTATTACTACTCATTATTCATATTCAAAGCCATTGTTATTCCACCATCACCTTCACAAAGCAACGCTTATTTTTTACCTATACACTTTCTTCCTCCTGCTTTAGCTCTGAGTACATTCGAATGGGTGAAAGTTTCCTTCTGCATATTCTTGCATCCTAAACCTTCGCATAAGCTCCACAGACCTGAGAGTGCATTATATCAAATGCACAACAACAAATCACCAAATCAGCTTTCTCATCTCTGACACCGCATGGAGTTTTTAATATTAACTCAAAACCCCCACCACAGAAAACTTACAGAGGATTCTCTCGATTGTGGCTTAGCTTCTGTTGATTAATCTCCATTACTTCCACCACATTAGCGGTTGCAGGTCCAGCTGATCCACCAGCCACAATCGATGGGACTGCTGCGGTTGGGCTCCACATCTTCAGACACAATTTTTAATAGCAAACGTTAATTTAAGAGATCTTACATGAAAATTTAACCAAACACTGAAGATAGCTTTGTGCCATTGTTTTACCTTTATTGTGTTATCAATTCCACTCGTTGCCACAACACTATCAAATGGATGACACTGAATGCAGTTCACAACTACAAACAAAAGATTATTCTTTTACCCAACTAATGTAAATTCAGGTGAACATATTGTAAATGACGACGTGATAAAGAAATTAACCTGATTCATCGCCAACAAGCACTTTCACTAGCCTTCCAGTCTGTTTCTCCCATATAAACCACCTACCATCATCGCTTCCGCTTGCAATATATTCACCTGAAATTTGGTAATAAAATGTTCACAGAAAGCCAATACCGTGTTGACGTTTCAAATTTTGTACACGGCTTCTTTCTACTACACTGAAATTGCATTTAGATAACATAAAAGTTGAAGCCCGAAGAGACTTACCTCTCTGACCAAGAAAACTGGCCTGCTTAATATCAGTCCCTACATTACAGTGGCCAACATATCTACGCTTCATATCAATGGCTCCCTCTGGCTGTAATCACCAAGATACCAATGGTATATAAGGTATGCATCAAATTAAGGAAGAGTATGACACAGCATAAAAAGCCAAGAGCTGACTCAAAAAATGCATTCAAGGTGCTCAATTTGTTTTACCTTTGAAGAATTAACAAAACAATAATCTTATAACTAACCTGATAAGACGTTTTATCAATTTGAGATGAAGATGCAGTTTCTGAGGAGGTATTATCAACTACATTTTCCATCGGTTTATCATCACCTACTCTATGAATACGTAGGTTGAGACTGCCACGCATAGCATTGGAGTCTGGATCTCGTCCTTCATCATCAGACAAAGAAGTTTGAATATCCAACTCCAATTCCTCGTCATAATCAGAGTCTTCTCTTTCGGATCTTGACATATCATGTGAACTCTCACTGTTGGCCTCTGATCTATAAAGTATGTCACTCAAAGAAAGTACTCTGGTAGTTCCAGCTCCTGTCTCTTCGTTTTTCTCAGCTCCAGCTGATTTGCAAAACAAAATACAAGTACAGGGAATATTAAAACGGGAAACGAAAATTCCTTCCCTTATCCAATCATGAAAGCTTTTGAGCACATAAATAGCCCTTTGGAATGAAAGGATCCCCCAAAAGTAAAAGAATACCTCTACATCTATTACTTTGATACACTTTTAAATCAACAGAACAAACATCAGATAATTAAAAACTAAGATATTTTTCTGGACAGAAAATTAAAGGAAGAAAGAGAAGCCAGATGGAGTTAAAAGATGATTCTACGAATCTATTCTTACGATTCTTCTCTCATGATTATGATATATTTTTCCTCATTGATTACTAGTAATGAATGGTTATAACTCAACGAAGAGCCAAAAAAAACATCTTAGCAGAAACATCTTGAACTTCTATTTTAGCTCAAGGAGGAAAACAGAAACAGCATGAAAAATAAATAACATATGTTACTTAGCAGTTTATCTGCAGTAAAAGACATACATCGGTTATCACAAACCTGCTTGAAGATCCCTTTTAATGCTCTCCACCTTTGCCACTATATCAGCATCTGATGGTTTCAGATGTTGTGCAGCAGTAGCAAAATCTAAGGCTTCTTTACATCTTCCCAACTGCGTGAAAGCACATATGCATATGAAATGGAAGGGCGAGTAAAATTAAATCTTATTGTAGACCAATCTCTGTCAAATAGTAAACTAAATTAACTGTGATCAGAGCTATGAGTTTACTTGCTGCAGCGCTTCAGACATGTAGTAATGAGCTTTAAAAGATGAAGCATCGATTCTCCGAGCATTTTGGCAATCTCTTACAGCCATATGAGCATCATTCTTCCACTTCCTCTGGAAAATAAAGGAATCAGCTGATTGTGGTTACCAGAGAGGAGTCATGTAGTGATTCAAGCTAGTTATAGACACCAGTTCTAAAGGACCTTGAGCAACAATGCGGCACGAGTACAAAGGCATTCATGCTTTAGCGCAGACTCAATGTCATTAGAATGAGCATCCAGAACTTCATTAGCTGCCTCAATTGCATAGAAAACATCTGTACCCTCTTCTAAAGACCTTTTAGCAATTTCTACCAATTCGGTGCACTTCTTAAGCTGAAAAAAACGGAGTCAGATGCACTAAGAAAATGGGATGACAAGGTAACCTTATGGAACAATTACAAAGGGAGGTCCAAACCGTTGCAGCATTGCTATTTCTGTGAAAGCCACTTTGAGGAGTGACGGAAACCTGAGGTTGAGATCCTACATCGTGGAGGATGTTACTGAAAGAAAAAAAGTTCTCTATATCCCCTAGTGTGTATTGCATGGTCCCAGTGCCTACAAGTCGCAAAAAAATGAGTGAATCAACAGATATTGAGATTAAAAAGAAATAGGAATATGTTTGAAAAACTGACATTTTCAATGCAAAAAAGATTCAACAAGAAAACTAGCACAGAGTCACAGACTAATATTTCTAAAGTAGTGAAGCACATATTTGCAGTTCGAAGAGAGCAATGTATATTACAAACAGTTAGCAAAATCTGGCGGGATAAACATATTCTTCTAAATATTAACAAATACAAGTTCATACTGCATGTTTAACTATTCACGGAATTTAAACTTTAACGCAGAGCATCTCAACTATACCATCATTTACATTCATCAGATAGACATGCTCCCCGCTGTAACTGAGCAAAACTTCTTCGCCATTAGGACTGAAAGTAACATGTGTTAGGTGCATATTTGTTCGCCCCTGAAATAATTCAAGATGTAGAGGACAGTGAGTTTGGGAAAAACTTTGACCAAAAACACAACATTACCACAGCAATGCAGAACTAGTAGAGTATCTTAATATCAATCAGATTAAACTAACACGTTCAGAAAGATGCATGGGACAGAAGTAATTGACACATGGAGGTGGAGGCATCCTTTTCCGACTTGACGTCAACGGTGGGAGCATCCTTCTATCGTACAAACGAGCAAATGCATCACTGCCAAAGAGGAAAGAAAAGAGCAACAAGTTAATTAAGAGAAAAGGAGAGAACTCTTTGAGCCACAAATATGGAGGCAAATACCTTCCACCAACAAGAAGTAGGTGTGGTCTTGTGGAACTTATATCACACGACTTCAGGAGTAGTGTTTGCTTAGGAGGATCAGCTAGTGCTCTTTTGGCCCCACTGCGCAGATCAAGCTGCAAAATTCAGGGCTAACAACAACTTTAATTTGCAGAAGAAATATTTCATAAGAGCTACACCATATAAATACATAGAATTTCCCACACAAGACGTCTAATATATATACACATAGAAAATACAATGGGGATATACAAAAATGTGGCACTCGTTTAAAACTCATAGCTAACAATCCTTGAGAATTTTGACTATAGACAAGTAATAAAATATTGTTTTGGAGAAAGCCAAGATGGAAGAACTAGAGAAACAGAAACTTAAATGAAAACAATGTAACCAGAGTTTGGAGATTACCAGAACACTGCGGCATTCTTGGTGAGGGGATCCAGCAGGAGGACAAGAGGTAGATTCTCGGCAATCATGCTGCCGTAAAGTCCCATCTTCACTAGCACTCCATATAACATTGGGATTACCAGGTTCGACCTACATGGTAGTAAAAACCTCTGCTAAACAAACAACACAATATGCAAGACCCAAAATACTGATCACGAGGGTCTTACAGCTAGTTTTTTCACTCTTCGTGTGTGACATTGGTACAATGCTGATGGAGCAACAGCGTTATCATCATATCCTCTACTGCTCAATCTGGATAGATTGAATAGCCTAACCTATAAGATAAGAAAAATAAACGCACACACCCCAAAAGAAAATAAAATCACCAACAGATAATAAATTCCATACAAAACCAAATGAGCACATCCCATAAGGAGTAGTTTGACAGACCTCAGCATCTCCAGCACCAGATGCCACAAGCTCGTCAGAGGTTTCAGGGACAAACTTTGTACAGAATATGTTGGCAGTATGCCCTGTATCTACAGATTGCAAAAGCTTCCGGGTGGAGTAATTCCAAATATTAATCTGCATATTAAAAGAAGATATAATTTCAAGGCAAGGCGAGAGAAATTAGATACTCAAATGGACATCTTTAACATTCTCATCCAAATTAGCTTATAAGAGCAAAGGTGAAATTTGACCCACTACGTAGACAACTGGGGGGAACTTAAGCATCACTATAGATCAATAAGCGATAAAAGTTTGTTCCCAGCTACTTCTTAAGAAAACCAAACAAGCTCAGCTAACTGGCGCAGTAACCAAAACTTTAATTTAGGTTGAAATAAAACTAAAAATAGGAAGATTGCAGAGTGTTAAGCTGGTATCTAAAACGAGATTCAAATACCCTTAAATCATCCGATCCAGAAATCAACATTGAACCATTAGAGTTCCAAGCGAGAGCATTAACACAGCCTTGATGTCCCTGTCACACACACACAGACACACAGTAAACATTACAAGACAAGCAAAGACATAAAACATAGACAAGGCTTGGTCCTGTTCAATCGTACCTCCATTTCTTGTTCCTGAGAAAGTCTCCGAACCATGGAAGAGTGTAATTGCAGTCTTTGATCAAAATCCTACACAGAGAAAACGTTGCCAAAAATAGTAAAAATTCAGGTAGAAGCAAGAATATGAATAAAGCCTAAACGAAGGAATTGAAATTCTGAATAAATCAAAGTGTGGCACTGAAGCTAAAACCCTAGCAAATAATAATGAGAAAGAATCAAAATTCCAATGGGACGGACGCAGGAAGGAGGAGGAAAAGTAAGAGAAGAAAGAAGAGCAACGTACATGAGTCGGGAGCTGAGACCTTGTGTGGAGGAGATTGAAGATGTTACCATCGTGGAAACTGAGATTATCCATGGGGACCACCGATCACAACTTGGAAGAAGAAGAAGAAGAAGAAGAAGAAGAAGAAGAAGAAGAAAAGCCCTTTAAGCTCTTTTGCAAATCTATCTGACGCAATTCCTTGTAGCCGGTTCTACATTCTACGGTGAGATCCTCTGCGGGCATGTCTTGTGTATTTTGTGTACTCTTTATCACATCTGAGCCGTTCGTTTTTAATTACGAATTTTTAAATACAACAGATGTGCTTTTATGATTTAAGTAAAAAACATTAATGGGGAAAATAAAATTGTAACACATGGTGGTGGTGACTGGTGAACGACCATTTGCTGTCGATTATAACCGGTCGCAAATCTATTTAATTTTCTTATATGATTTTGTAAATAATTGCTTCCAGAATTTGGGTTAACAGGAGTCATTTTTTTTTCTAAGACAAAAAAATGTGATAAAAGGTTACTACTTACTATTATTGTTTTTCTTTTCACGTGACAATGCGTAACAAACAACAAAGTGGCTCAAGCCGCAGTCTACGCAGTATGGAAGCAACGGAATAATGTCCTGCATAACGCCCATGTCATTCATCCGTCAACCATCTTCAAGGCCTTAAACCGAGAGATCAGAAACACAATATCTGCAAGAAGGCACAGAAGAAGCTTTAAGAGATTAATGGGTCTTTAGATCAGATGACTTCTCAGAGAATTTGATGATGTTTTGCTTGTTTTGCTTCCTTGTTTTTTATCCTAATTTTTGCCAAGGAACCAACTATTAGGTAACTTATGTAATACCTGTTTTGTTTCATTAATATGAAAATTTACTTGCTTAGCAAAAAAAAAACAACAAAGTGGTCAAATAAAGCTGACCTGTCTCAAGTACGTTAGTTCTGTGACTTATTTTGGACAAGTGTTTTCTTTCTAAAATTCTCAAAAAAAAATTTTTTGCTATTTTCCTTTTCTTTAATCCTAACGTTTTATTGCTATGTTGTAATATTATTCTTCGCTTTGCATTTTTCTTCAAAATTCCAAAGAACAGGTTAATTAAACATAAAAATCATTGATAAGAAGTCAAGTGTACTTTTTGAATTGACTTTGTGTAACTTTTTTTTTTTACTATTTTCTAGTACTAGATTCTTCAACATTCTAGGGCAAAATCTTTCTGCTTATGTTGGTTGGTTCTACATGTGTTCTAGTAAACACATCAGAACCTAGACACATTCGTTGCAATTTCGATAAAAGATGTTGAAGCACAAGGAAAGAGCTGGCGTGGATTTTTTCATAACTCATAAGATTCATCCCGTTGTGTGACATAGTATGATATATGTGACTTACTTTTGGACTTTCATGTTATGATATGTAATTCTATGTTTCTTGCGGATAGTGATTGATGAGACAGTCGTTAGTTGGAAATTTATGTTTATCACTTAGTTTCAACGGAACCAAAAAATAGACTCGATTCTCATGCTCGACAATGTACTTCAAAGTCAATGTGGGTATACCTCCCATTTTGATTCCACCGTTGTAGAAAAACTGGATTCTAGTGCAAGGCCATTGACGTATCCGATTATTAATTTTTTTTGTTATAATCTGATTTGCGTAAACCTAAAAGTGTACTAGTTAATGAAATAGAAGAAGTTAGGTATAACGAACAAGCTAAAATGATAAGACGGGATGCCATAACAATATACAAATCTATCCCACTGATAATTATATACTAAACTTGAAATTTCGACTACCTACTAAACTGTTCTTGACATTGAATGGGTTACTATATATACAAGGAGTTTGCAACAAGCTGGCACAGAAAGAGTAAACACAAAGAGAAATTAAATGATCTCGAGATGAATGGGGTTTATGTAATGCATCACAGATCCATAATGTACACAATTGGACAAAAAGAAGACAAAAAAACTTCTTTCATAACACAATAGTCCAAAAGTTACACAGTGTGTTCTGTTCTTGTTTCAGTCCTTTGACCAAATATACGAGTAAACAAAATAGACATCCATATCCTTTTTAACACATATGTGAGTCATCATACCTATGAGAAACGTCAACAGTTGTATATGCATAAAGATTACTGCACATACACATATGTGTAGAGGGATTAATGGAAACATAAGAGACTCAATGCTCAAAATAGCATAATCGTATTCCAACATAGATACCAATGTGAAATAAATACTCACATCTTGACAAATGATTCCACAATGAATGAACTAAATATATAACTAGAAAAAAGAAATGTAACGTTACCAGTTCTTGAACTTTTATAATATCTTTCACAAAAACTCTCTAGCTTAAGTGTTTTCCTTATCCGACTATCCCAATTTCCCACTATTCAACTATTCACCTAATATTTTACTCAAGGCCCAACAAAGAACTTAGTGGTAGAATAATCAGAAGTTCATACTTGTGTTTCAGTGGCAGCTTCCATTTATCTTTAACTGATTATCCCTAGCCTTTTGATTTCACATATCTATTAAAGACCTTAATTAGAATCATAAATATTCACATAACTTACATAGAAGCTGCAATGCCCAAAATATTAAGCGCATCAATTCCAAAATTCTCGCCGTTAATACCAATCTGATTCCATGGATACAAGTGCAATCTGCATAACTTTGACTCACTTTGTGACGTTGAGGGTAGAGACAATTCATGTGTGCTAGAGTCTGCCAAAAAGAAAAGGGTTTGTTTCAACGATAACAGGATATATCTTAATTAGTACTAAGAATACAAACATCTTTTTCCTACGAATCTAACCACAATGGATCAACAAAATCTAACACAATTAATGTAAATATAAACATTAAATTATATGAGATACCTTCACATATATATATGAGTAACGATATATATTATAAGACAAAATCTAATACTCATCATCATGATCAATTTTTTAAAGTTTTGAAACTAGATAAACTGAAATTGGATATAAATATAAAGACAACTAGATGCAATCATACATGTATGCATAAATTTAGTATGCACAAAACAGATAGATAATCAAGAACACAAAAGGACTAGAACATCAATAGTAAAAGGAAGATTCATGAAGGAGAAGTTATGACAGAAAGAGAGTGAGCACGCAAAAGCAAACCATATACAAAGAATTTTATACAACTTCCCCTTTGTGTGCTCACTCTCTTCTGTCAACTTCTTTTCCCCCATCAACATACATGTATATACATTTTTCTATATAAGCTAGGATGAAATAAAATATGTTTTGAAAACAACACAAAAGAAACAAGGATATATATGTCTGTATGTGTTAATAGATATATAGGAAAATCCAATTAGTCCAGAAACCGATGAAATAACAAAAGGTAAAACAGGAAAAAATAAAAAAAGACACAAGTACAGATCGAAGGTACTCTGAGATCAAATCTGGGAACAAACAGCAACCAACAAAGACTTGATCGATGGATCCATAAAAGGAAAGTATAAATCTAAGTACGGACACTGCAAGTTAGGGTTTCTTCTCCCAGCCTTAGATTTTGTTTGATTCTTTAAAAAAAGAACTGAATCTAGAAACAAAGGTAAAGGAGATAAACTCAAAATTGCAGCTAGAAACAAAGTTATAAAACAAGCTTATTTAAAACTTAATCTCTCTCTCTCTCTTTCATGCAAAGCATACATGTGTCGGCTGCCTCTTTCTCTTTCTATATTTCGAAACTTAGAAGAGAGATTGATTATATAGGGAAATGTAAGTAAACACTAGAATGTATAGAATTCGAAGGCATTGTAGATTTAGATGGAAGAAGAAGAAGAAGAAGAGGAAAAGGGTGAAACAGAGATGAAGTGAAGAGAGTACGGATAACAAAAACGCTTGGTTATGGTTTGTCGGAGAGAGAAACGTGTCGCAATCGAAGGCCAGGATTAGACTTGAGAGATGTTATGAGCCGTTGGATGTGTCTTTTTGTTTTCAGTTCCGTCTCTTTGCCGTCTTATCTGTTTACTGTCCTTTAATTAACTCACTAATGCGTCATTACACACAGAGAGAGAGACACACACACGCGTCATCATCATCATCTGTCTCTTCTCTCTTTTTAATCTTGACGATTAATGCTTGTAAATCTTATAGTACTAGTAGTATTCTAAAATTTGTGTCACGGTTTAAAAGTTAACTACCAAACGATTAGAATAGTTAAAAATGTTGTTAGTTGATCTAATTAGTGCGGCGGTATAAATATAATCTACTGTCGTAGCCTTGAATGGGTAAGTGGCGTAGCAGTGTTTTGGTGCCCACTAATTAATAAACACGTTTTCTTTCCATTCATCCAAAAGATAGATAGGACCGTATGCTATAAATAATAACAGTGTGCCATGTTCATTTTTGGGTAATGAGCCGGGTAGTGCGATAAGGGTCGGAAGAAAACAATCCAGATATATATATAAAAGTGTACTCTCTATACGTTTCAACCATATGTTTATCGATTATATTTTGATGCTACTATCAAAAAGTCTTTTTAACAATGCCGCTGATTATTTTAGTCCGTAGACTCGGTTACCTATACCATGCATTACACACCACCTTCAGTCACAGCTTCAGTGGTAAGTTAACTTTGTTTGTTGACAATAAGTAAAAGCTGTTTTGTTTAACGAGCTTTAAACTTGTGTTCGTTTTACTTTTGTACCTTTTGCTATTCTTCTTTTTTCGAAACCAATAAGACAAGACAACTACAGAAGTTAGATATTTGCTTTCCATCCTAACTTCTGGAACTCACAGTGAATTTGGTGTTTGGGTACTATCATAAAAGTCAGTTGATGCATAGCTTCCATCTTTTGTTTGTGAACAACACATTTCTTATGAAATTATAAAAAGCTGATTTGTTATAAAGGTAAACATATCTCATAGCAGAGAGTGAGATTAAATAGAAAACTTTCATTCATATTCATAGTTTAAAATGATTAGCTTTCCCACCCCAATGAGTTTGGCTACACATTTTGCAAGCAACATATATAGCCTCCAACCCTAAATTTCCGAAAACAAGAATTCACTGTAGAAATTAAAAAGCAATAATGGTTTCCTAAAGCTGTAACTGTCTACTACGGTAGCTGCACTTAGAGAGACACCCTAGTCTTTGTTACTTCTTTTTGCCTACGGCTAAGAAGATTCTTCTTCCTTTTCTGCTTCTTCTCCTGCCTCTTTCTCCTCATCAGTTGTATCATCATCAGCATCGCCAACAGCTTCATCAGCAGAACTGTTACTCTTGGTCTTTTTGGAAGAAGTCTTCAGCTTTTTCCCTTTCCCAGTGTCAGAGTTTGATGCAGCTGACAGCCTTTTCTCCTTTCGGTTGTTTGTTTCAGCAACCTTCTTGCCAGACCTCAAGGTCTTTGGTATCACTTTTTCCTGACCATTCTCATCATCAGATGTCTCATTTTCAGCATCATCATCATCATCAGATGTCTCATTTTCAGCATCATCATCATCCTCAGAGACAGCTTCAGAAACCTTCTTGCTGGATTTTAAGGGCATGGGCTTCGCCTCATCATCATCACGACCTTCCTCATCATCATCTTCACGATCTTCCTCATCATCAGAGGAGCTGCTCTCAATCTTCTTCGAGGTAGTCCTCGGTTTTTTCACTTTGGCATAGGCAGCCCTTGATGAAGATGAGGGCCTTTTCAGTTTTGGGTTCTTTGCTACAGGAGCCCCCTTGCTGGATCTCAAAGCCTTAGGTGTCTCTTTTTCATGCCCATTCTCCTTGCTTTGGAATCTCCCACTCATGCGAGAGGCCGCTGCTACAATCTTCCCACCAATCTCACTCATTTTGCCATTTCTCTCAGCTACACGCTTCGGAGACTTGAGCTTTCTGTAAAAACCAATTAGGGTCATCACATCTTCAGCAAAGCAAGACATATATACTGTTAGAGATCTAAACAATCAGTGGTCCCTAGCTATATCAAACCTAGTTAAGCATAAGGAAAAACTCAAAGTTAAACGACCAGCCAGATAGAGGGCAGACTTACGGTTCCGTTGTAGCCACGGAACTCTCATCAGCAGATTCATCCTGTAGGAAGATTTGCAAAAAAAGAAGAAGAATGTTGAGCCATTACAAAACCGAGATACACAACAGCGAACCACCGACAATGAATGATAAAAAAAAAAAACAGTCTCTAGACTATACCTCATCAGTTTCGGTTTCACTTTCTTCAATCAACTGCCATCTCTCCTTCTTCATATCCAAGTATTCCACATCCCCATCAACGTACAAAACCTAATTGCAATTGAATGATAACAATGGAGATTGAATCATTAAATGACACATTCTCTTAAAACAATTGAATTCCCGTAAGAAAGTAACACCTCCACTAAAATCATTCAATTCAGATATGTAATCAAAGAATCCGAGGGGAGAAGCCTAATTCATTCATTAAATGAAGAAGCAATCCAGAATCTAGATTCAAGCAGACCCATCATGGCAACAAGGAAAGAATCAATCAAATCAAGATTATACTAGAATTACCCGATGTTTCTTCTTAGAAGTGACATAAGCATCCACCACTCCTTCATAGAAGCTGCCAATCCAAAGAGATCTGTCAGATTCAAAACACAAGTACTAGAAAAGCATAAGAACCCTAATCTAGTCCACAGAATTGAACACTCACGTCCTGTCGATTGGCCACCAGATTCTGATTCTCGAGCCGACCAACCCTTCGTCGTACTCCTTAGCAGGAGTAACCTATTCAAAAGTTTGATACTTTAGAGCAAATTCGAATAGAAAAACAAACTAGTTTATTCAGTAAATTCTATACGAAAAAAACGCAAAGAAAGAGAAGCGGTTGTTGAAGAAAAAACCTTCTTCGCAAAGCGGCTCAGAGAAGGTCTCGTCTTGGCAGAGGAACCAACCATAGTGGTAGGGAGAAGAAGAAGGGAGGGAGTTTGGGGTTTGCTGTAAGTAACTGAAGAGAGAGATTTGTGAGGAGACAGTGATGGAGAAAGGAGCAGTGAAATAGGGATGTTAAATAGGGGACGAAGAGGTGTGATTTCTCATCTTGTTTTTTTTTCCCATGGACCTGAGAGGGTGAGAGATGGATGAGGCTGACAACCCAACCAACGACTCAAAGACGAAACGTGACTTTACATTTTAGGAATTACCCACTCACGTGAGACTCACGACCACATGTTTTTGATTTCTTTCTTACTACTTATTGGTCTCTTCACTGTTCACATCCACTTGTGTTTCTGTCCTTTTTTGTTTTTTTTTTGGTCAACGTTGTGTTTGTGTCTATCTGTGCTTTTATTTTTTTCCTATCTTTAAAAAGTCTAAGCCAGTTGTTATTTTTTCACTTATCAACGGATGGGATTTTGCCAATGTTATTGTTCCCTTCTTGGTCTTTAGCAAAGTCAAATTTAAACTTACCAAAAAAAAGCAAAGTCAAATTTAAAAGAGTTATTGTCCAAAAAAACAAAAAAACAAAAAAAAAAGATATTTGTATATATCCTTGCTAGTATGCTGCTTTTCGATGCTCAAGTTAACATTTAGACCATAAGATTTGACCCAAAACCAGAAGAATGAGGAGAAAATGATAGACGATATGGTCAAGTTACGAGATGTCTAGATCGAAAACCACAATATTTTTTTGTCGAAGTTGTTCAAACATGTATAGATCGAATTAAACAATTACTAAGATAGTTCAAAAAACCATTTAAATTTAAATACTTTTTTGGCGCTTCACATTTTTCTAATACGGAAAATCCATGCAACGTTAAATACTTTTTTCTAGTTTGAGTAAACTATTAAAATTCAAAAACCGGATATATACATCTGAAAAAATATCTATACAAACATTATTAGATTAAAAAACAGGTTTATACATGTCAAGATAATTCAAAATATCCTCAAGCTTGATGATGTCCCATATATGTCCACTCCTTTGACATTTGCAACTGTGGAGGAAAATACACATGTGTTCAAGTAATAATAAACGAGACATTGTGACATTTCGCTTTGTATATTAACATTATATTTTCTGTTGTCAATAACATTTTAGTTTTTTTGGTTATAATATAAAAATTCTACAATCTGCAGTATTTAGACGAGCAAGCAATTACGTGTTAGACAACCATTTTTGTAGGGCAACAATTAAGCATAATCTTTTAATATATATAATTAATAATAATCAAGCAGAATCTTTGATAGCTATGTGTTGGATTCCAACAGAACTTTCTTAAGAAAATGGTCGTATGATGGAACCATCATCTAGTATTTTGTGAGTTAACATCACTTTTATATTGTTTCGAAAACAAGTACACCATTTACCATTATTTATATATTCATATACGTATATTGCTGTATATTACAAAGCCACGGATAATGCTTTAGGTTTAAGTGGGAGGCACGATGATGCTTTGACTCCTTCATAATAATTAGAATCAATATTCCATTATTCCTGATATTAATTTTTTTTTTTTGCTCTAATTGTTGGTCTTCCTGTGAGTTGGAGAATCTTTTCATACAATGTATATTTAAAAAAAAATATAGATTACGTTTTTGAATATTAGGAATATTTTTTTTTTTATGTATCTAAAATGATTCTATACATGAACGAAGATGTTTTCAAGTCATTATGTATACAGGTGATGCATCTATATCTCTAGCTATCAATATAATGAGCACTTGAAAGGTAGAATATCTAAAGTCAAAAGTATTTTACAATTACTTTGTTTGACTATACCAAATATACTAAAAAATATTTTTTACAATAAAATACTATACAGGACAATCCATATAGTATATGGAACGATAGTATTTATGGGGAAGAGCTTATATGGGGGGAAAAAAATCAAAACATTTTATTCTTGCATTTCTTAACAGGACAATCCATATAGTATATGGAACGATGGTATTACCACACTTGTTTATAAAATTAATTAGGGAAAAATATAAGAAAGAATGTATCAAGGTTCATAAAACCATCGACCGTATGTCATAGGAAAAATAAGGTTAGAGTTATTTATCATGAAGATAAGATCAAAACAATATTTTTTGTAAGAAATATGAATTCCGACATGTACAACATTCAATATAGAGGAATTCCTCAAAATACCATCATTTTGGTTTTCTTTGCAAAAATACCACTAAAATCAAATTATTGTTTAATGGTATGAAATTTTAAATTTTTAGTTTGGGTTGATTATTTGCAATTTAGGGTATAATATTTAAATGGTAGGGTTTAATGTTTAGAATTTAGACTTTAAAATTTGAAAATTTAAAATTTAATTTTAGTCTTGTGGTATTTTTATCGTAAAAACAAAAATGGTGGTATTTTAGAGAATGTGCCATCAATATATATACAGTGTAATTTATACATATTTTCTTACAGGTTTTTCATATTAAAACAATATCACAATTATAACACTTCTTAGTCTATCTTCATATACTAGTTGTAAAAATGTACTGTTTTCATTGCAACTAATCACCAAAATAATACTCAGCTAGCAGTATTTCTTTAGAAATCTATTAAAAATGACGATAACACAAAACAGGGAAAAAATTTAGTATAACAAACAATAATAAACGATATCAAAATAGTTAAAAATTATAAAAAGTATTGATTAATAATGTGGAAAAATAAAAAATTTAGTATAACAAACAATAATAAACGATATCAAAATAGTTAAAAATTGTAAAAAGTATTGATTAATAATGTGGAAAAATAAAAAATCAGACCCCAAGAAGCACAAAACTAATAATAGAGGTAGGTTTAGAAAGCAAAAAAAAAAAAAAAAATCATGGAAGTTACAAATAACGGATTTCCCGTGATGCACATAAATAAAACTTTGGTCATCATATCACAAAACGGACAATAAAATATACAATAATATACACCACTATTATTATTAATTATTACAAACACGGATAATAAAGATAAAATAATTGGGGGTAACTGGCCAAATCGTAATGATTGATGTAATAAGAAGGCGCACGGAAAAACGACGTCGTATTACCTTTTTTAAAATCGTCAAATATGAGAAACGGCAGCGTATTGTAAAAGGCTCTCGCACACTTGTCTCCATCGCTTCCTTGCTTTGTCTCTCTCTATTTATCAGTTTGCATCATCGTCTCCAAAGGCCTTACCACTTGAAAACCTCCTCTCTCTCTCTCTCTCTCTCTTTGGTTGACCCGATTATTTCTCTCTCGCATACGCACAGATCTCTCTTCGTATCTGCTAGATCTGTTCCTTTTCTTACATCTGTATTGCGATACCTCTGGTAATTTCTTACTTTCCTGTGTCCTCGTTCCATTTCCGATTTCCTTTACAGCTAGGGTTTGGTCTCTTTTTGAATTCAATCGATTTCCTTACATCTTCCCGGTGTTGTTGTCTTTTCAGATCGGAAGGTGTCGCTTGCAGATCTAGCGAATCTCTCCGTACAGGTCTCGCGTGTCTTCCGAGTTCGGGCGTATGCTGTGTTTTCAGATCTGGGTTTGTTGCATCTGTAGAAATGGCGGAGACTCTGAAAGAAGATTCGATTATGATTCGGGAGGTTTGGGATTACAATTTAGTTGAGGAATTCGCGCTGATCCGTGAGATTGTTGACAAATTCAGCTATATCGCTATGGATACTGAGTTCCCAGGTGTGGTTTTGAAGCCTGTTGCTACTTTTAAGTACAATAACGATCTTAACTACAGGACTCTCAAGGAAAATGTCGATTTGCTTAAATTGATTCAAGTTGGCTTAACCTTTTCTGATGAGAATGGGAACCTCCCCACTTGTGGCACGGATAAGTTCTGTATCTGGCAGTTCAATTTCCGTGAGTTTAACATCGGTGAGGATATCTACGCCAGCGAGTCCATCGAGCTGTTGCGTCAGTGTGGGATTGATTTCAAGAAGAACATTGAGAAAGGCATTGATGTGGTTAGGTTCGGTGAGCTTATGATGTCCTCTGGGATTGTTTTGAACGATTCTATCTCGTGGGTTACGTTCCATGGAGGTTACGATTTCGGGTATTTGGTTAAGCTGCTGACTTGCAAGGAGTTGCCTCTCAAGCAGGCTGATTTCTTCAAGCTTCTGTTTGTGTATTTCCCCACTGTTTACGATATCAAGTACTTGATGACGTTCTGCAACGGGCTGTTTGGCGGATTGAACAGACTCGCTGAGCTTATGGGAGTGGAGAGAGTTGGGATATGTCATCAAGCTGGCTCTGATAGCTTGCTCACCTTAGGCTCGTTTAGGAAGCTCAAGGAACGTTATTTCCCGGGATCAACTGAGAAATACACTGGAGTCTTGTATGGTCTAGGTGTGGAAGACGGTACTACTACTACTACTACTACTACTACTGTTGCTAATTAAGAAGGGGAAAACGAAAGATACTTTTATATTAAAAAAAATCCAGGGAAGTGCAATTAGATTTTTCTTTAGTCTTTGTGAGTGTGAGAAGACCAATTAGAATTGTCTTTGTGTAAATTGGCAAATTGGTGTAGTAAGTGATGACTGTTGTGTCTTTGTTGCTGTTGTTTTCAGACCGAAGAAGAAAAAAACCCTTTGATCAAAAATGAGGGGTTTTGTTTTTAGCTTGAGTTTCTGGATGTATGTCAATTCAGCTACCCGTTTATTTAATAAATAATCTCCAATTATTATTAATGTTTCATGTTCTTACTACTGACAAAATGTAACTTAACAGTGTCTTCTTGTAGGGAGTTTTTTGCTTGTTCCAGCTTTGCAGGCACTATGTAATTCTCTGTAACCATATCAGTTTGAGGACTTGATATAATTATAGTCTCAAAAATAGCTGGAAACTGTGGTGTTCGATTGATGCATATACTTGCTACTTAGCTAATAAGTAGTATGTGGTCATACTTAATCTTGAAGTGAATCACATACATGTATGTTCCAGTTGCCGATCACATCAAGAGACAATTTATTACGATAGAGTAAAATGCAATCGATGTTTTGTTGGCCAGTATTCTTATTCCTACTCTAAAGTCATATGAGTCGCAAATGGTACAGAAGATGTAATAAATTGACTGATTGAGAAGTATATAACTCGTTCATTCAATTGGAGAAAGAAAGAAACAAAAGCCAGCCTGTTAAGAGATATTATAAGTCAGATGTGGATTTGTGTGGTATAAAAATAAGTATTTCTCACAAAACGTTATATGATATTTTATCTTCTTCGCACTTTTTACAATGGGACGAAACTTGTAGTACTTGTAGACGAAACTGTTTGATGATCGAAAACTATGGCAATACGACGACAGCAGAAAAGAAAGAAAATATAAAAAAGAGAGAGAGAAAAAAAAAAGAATAGCAAGACGGCACATGGGTTGGTCACTATTACCTAGGTGTGGCAGAGAATCAAATCGACTTCTTACAGAAGAAACAGTACTTGTTTGCTCGGTCCTATCTGTAACGGCCTGTCTGAAACAGTACTCACGTGTCAACGTTTGTCTGTCCGGTTTGGATTCTATTTTGGGCCTGTGGGCTTTTGATCACTACCCATTGGGGGTTGAGGGAATGTTTTTTCGTACCAAGTTGGAACTTTGTACTATTATGACCAAATATGGAATTACTTTCTTACATGTTTGAAAAATACCTACTGTATATTGTGGTTGCTAATTGCCCATATGTCGTTTTTTACTTGTTCTCTCATTGGAGAATAGATAGAAACATTAATGTTTGAAAATTAATAATTGGTGAAACTAAACAAAGCTACTACAAGACTTGCATGCATTATTGCAAATGTTTATCAATTTACTTGAAACCAGCAAAAGTATCAGTGCCAACACTAATCATAACGATTAGACGATTAGTAATGAACTTTATATGATATGCTTGTGAATCCATAAGAAGCTGTCAAACACCAAGTCTACTTGATTGCGGAAAAAATGTAAGTAACTAAGTATGATTAGGGATATTTGTATTTTATTCTTCAAAACAAAAAAAAAACAAAGAGTAAGGTTAAGATGTATTTTAGAATATATATACTTTTCTGCCTAATTGTGGACGAGACAGAACAAATCTAATTAAAAAAGATTCAGTTGATATGTGATTACTGATAATAACACAACACAAACAGTGTTGTATTTGTAATCATCCATGTGGGGGTGTTTCTCCTGCACCACTCTTTCTTTCTCATCATGTTTCTTGTTTTCGATGCTATTTTACAGCTAGGAAAGAACACTAATAATTCATGTGATACATAAGTATGCATTAAGATTAGTATTTTAAATTATCCTAATTACTTAAGAACTACTAATAATCATCAAAAACACTTGACATTATTGAAAGGCACAATGTAAATTTAGTTCCAAAGTTTTGTAGGCTTTTCTCATAACTTAAAACATGTCGTGATCAAGATTTGTTCTTGTACTTCATGGAGTGCTCTGATATATAGTTCCCTCATTGGAGATACCATCATACTCTTAATAATATAGTCAAATCAATTTTTCTTAATTTTTAATAGTTAACGAACCATTTGATTCACACCGAATCAGCTTCCCAAAATTTCTTTTATTGTAGATCGTTTGTAACATTGGACCCACGAATTATATTCATTTTATAGGTCGCATTCGACAAAATACTCAACATACTTAAACTAGTTGTCCTAACAATTACATCTTTGGATTTTACTTATATATTATTTAAAAAAAAATTGTTTTCGGTTTCCACTACGTATTAATCTATGCTAAAGTTTAGAGAAATATATAAAGTATGTTTTAATATAAAGATTCGTATCCCCAGAGCATAGATGAGACGCTTTGTCGTATCACTTTGTTTTCCCACCCAAACCAGAACAAATTTTTTTCTATTGGGACTTTCGAATTCTTTTTCCAAAAAAGCCAAACACGAACAAGCATCGAACTTAAACTATACAACTTGCTCTTGTCGCATTCGCATCTAAATATTATGGACTCATAAGTAAACAGACTACTTAATTAAAGACTTCAACACAAACTCTCAAGTGGATTATAACAGCTGAGGTGGCTCTCTATAAACCCAAGTGTTTATTTGTGAACTAAGGATGATACTAATAATCATTCATGTCCCTTTAATTCATATATATTAATAATATTTAAGTGGAAAAACAAACTATAGTGAAAAGGATCAGACAATGGTATAATGATGACACGAATTCAGATATAATTCGCTATGATTAGCAGAAAACAAACTTTAGGTGTAATCCTGGTTTCAACACACACCAAAAAAAAAGTGTTGCATGTTGCCAATGTCTTCTTCTAGAGACTCTATATTATGTGTATAACAAAATTCCCATGAAGGATCATATAAAAAGTGGCAATCACTGTTTAGTAGAGAATGTGTCCAAATAAGGGAGTTTAGTAGTGTGTGTATTCGAAAACCTTTCACCATGAAATCCGGGTGGGTGCTTCCCAAACTATTTGAGGATTCCAATGAATAAAAAGAGGAAGCAGAGTGAATATGAAGCAAGCTTTAAAAGCAAGAATTGAAAAGAGGACAAAAGAGAGTTAAACAGTAGAAAGCTAAAAGGAAACAGACATGGCCACTTTCCTCTCGAAGTTTCAAAAGTACACAGAAACATCAAACATACCTGAATAGTTTCACTAGGTCCACTCTCTCCTTCTCTCTCTTGTCATTGAGCATCCTTTTCATTTCATTGTCACTTGTTGTCATCTTCATCTACTCCGTGAATATTACAACAAGTTGTCGCTTCATCAAACAAATAAAACCGGTCCCAGTTTTTAGAAGATCTTTTCAAACTGCCAAGCTTTCCTTTGTCTTGTTTCCCCCAAATCCTTTTCTCCTCATACAAAAGAGTGTAAAAAGTCTCCATTAGAAAAGAACTAGTGAATACTACTGTACATCCTTATTGACAGATTTGAAGAAATGGTTTCGTTACACACATATCCGCGGTTGCATACGCGATACGCCATGCCATAGGAAGACGAGTTAGGGCCTCTAAGGATCTATCCACAGGAAAACAAAGCATCCATCAATCAGAGCCGGATTTAGCAAATATCAAGCATAGTAGTTCTGAAAAAAAAGTTCATGAACTCACCAGGACGAAAAATCTTATTTGAAAGGCTTTTTGAATCAGGGTGATTATACATCTCATTGGCATCAACATATGACATGTATACTCGTTGTTGAAGAACTTTTTAGCACATAAAATGCCCAAGACTGAGAGAACCAAAGATAAGAAGTTATTAATGCAAGATAGAAAATAAAGATTGGTTTATTGAAGGAGAAAGCAGAGCCAAAAATAAAAGGTTGATGTGAAGTGAAAGTTGCTCCTACAAAGGGATAAACACAGGTATTAATTGGTGGAGTTCCATTCAGCTTCAAGTGTTTTGTTGTGTGTGGTGTGTCAGCAAACTAGACCTACCCATATCTCTCTCATCTTCTTACTACTTTTCTCCACTTATTACCAAACCCAAAAGCATTTGTAGCGAGTCTATTCTTTCCTTATATAGCATCAACTTCTGCTCCCACTTCTGAGAAAAAGAAAACTAGACTTTCATGCTTTTTTCATATGCAATTCCAGATATAAAGCTATTACTCTGAGACAGAAGGTGAGAGCGAAAGAGACAATTGAAGGGAACAAAAACCATCATCACCTGGAAAATTATATTCCCTCTTTGCCCCTTATGGATTCTTCCAGCGGAAAGCCAAGACCATCTGATTCTTCATGCATCGTTTCTGCATCCACCACTCTTCCATTTCCAAATTCTCCCAAGCTGAGCCTAGAAAATTACAACATAGATGCAGAAGCGGATCAAGCAGAAGACAATTATGATCAAAAAGCAGGAGATGAAGGTATAAGGCTTGACCTTATGCTAGCAGGATATGATTGTAGTCAACCCGATCTCAATCAAGAACTCAATCTCCTCGACTGGTTAGAGGCAAGTGTAGTCACTCCGAGTTTTAACGGGTCAAGTTCCACTGAACAGAAGCTCTTCTCATGCAACTACTGTCAAAGAACATTCTACAGCTCACAGGCGCTTGGTGGTCACCAAAACGCCCACAAAAGAGAAAGAACTTTGGCAAAGCGAGGGCAACGGATGGCATCTGCCGCAGCTTTTGGTCATCCATATGGTTTTGCTCCGTTCCCCTTCCATGGACAGTACAGCAACAGATCCTTGGGTATTCAGGCGCACTCAATGAGTCACAAACCAAGTTCCTATAACGTTTTTGGTGGTGAGTATGGTCAGATCAACTGGTCAAGGATACCACTCGTTCAGCAACCAGCCATAGGTAAACTATCTTCAACAGAGAATCATTATAACCATCATCAGATGATGATTGCTCCACCGTTGACTTCCACATGTGAAAACATCGGTAGGTTCGATGTAGAAAGGATCCCAGTAGAGTTTCCAACTCCCGACCTATGGCGGAGAGGCGGGGAATCGTTGAACCCTGCTGAAGAAGAACAGCAGAAGAACCTTGACCTGTCCCTTAAGCTCTGAAATTCTTTTCTTTAATTTTTTGAGTTTTGCTCTGAAATTGTTTTCCTCGAGCCAAGCCTCTGCTCAAGTTTCCATTGTGCTGGTTTTTTGTTGTCATTGATGATACCTTCACCAGTATTATCCAAGGGTTAGTAATCTTGTGAGTATATTTTTTTTGTCTACCATAGTTCTATAATGTACATCTTTCCACATTTGTACATAGTACGAGTTTTCAACTAGCCATCAATGGATTCTAGTAGACACCCAACCACCATAAAGAAGTTGGTGAAGTTCCTAGAAACGAAGAGAAACTTTTTAGTGTATAGAAGAAAAAGATTATATTGAGATCCATGAGAAGATTTGTTGTCATGGAAACCGGAGAAAGATATATTATAAAGTCACAGTTGGGATACCTAAAAGTAGGAAAAACATTCTTTTATTGAAAAGTGGTGAGCAAGACACAGAAAGAAAACAAAACAAATAGTATAAAATATGAACTTGTTAATTGCGATGATGACAAGAAGCAAAGAGTCCAGAAGAACAAACATAATCAATACATGAGATGATCCTAATAATGCAGCTAATAACAAATCATGAAATAATCAAGAATCCAATGGAAATCTTTGTGAGACCCCAAAACTTGTGAACACTAGACAAAGAGTGACCAGTCTTTGGCCAATAAGATGAATCTTCATGCACTATCTACACAAACATAAATAGAATGTACAAAATACCATGTGCGTATGATACACAAACGGTGGGACAAGAGTCAAGACAATGAGAGACTAGAACACATAATTCAAAAGGACTTGATATAATTCTAATGGACTGACTCAGAATTCTCTACACCTAGAACCAAATAGAAAGATGTACACTTTCTTCCCAGTAAACATTTAAAGCACAGAACAGATCATCATGTTTGGTTTCAGATACAATTTGGCCACACGAAACAAAAAAGGAATCAAAACACCTTAATGAATAAAACAAAGAAGAAACACCAAAGCAGACAATAACACATGTTGAAAAGAAATCTAATGGAACCAAACCTCATTGATTAACTCTTGGGGTCCATTTTCATCTTCTTGTATACCACAAATCTGAACCCCAACAATACTCTTCAAATCTGAGTCACACTTTCCTGAAGAAACACATAGCAGATATAAGCTGAGAGGCACACAATGTATTAATCATTATGAGAATGCTACTCCATCACAGTCAGCGATTAATTGAATCAGTATAGCTGAAAATGAACATGTTATGATGTAATGTGCCGCATGCCTTCTCCTACAATGCAATGAGCGTAAGATTTAGCAGCAGAGAGAGACAGAACATATCATCCGTACAAGAAATTGATTAATATATTGGACTCTTCACCAGCGAACAGGCATGGTTATTAAAACTCCCACATCAGCAAAACGTGAAAGACTGAGATATTACCGGAGTCCGGAGACGAAGTGAAGACTCGGACTCTGAGCTTTCGAGGGGATGATGGTGTGTGTGTGTGTGAATGAAAAGGTACTCACATAAAGTTTTAAAGGCCCAATGAGTGGCCCATAATAGTAATTTTAAAATCAGTTTAGCCCATACTTTTACGAGCGAGCTAATGTTATTGTGTAGAGTGAAAAATCGAAACAAAAGGCTCAGTGTTGTCTGTTGTGGAAATCCATTTATTTTCATTATCAACGTAACAAGTAACAAGTAACAACAACACTCATATACGAAACTATCTATTTTGATAAATTTGATCTTTTCCATTTATTTTTATAGGATAGAATTTGATCTTTCACCAAAATTCATCGTGCAACATTCTTTTTCCCTAAAACATTAACTTAAAGGAAATGTTTCATATATTTATCATCATTATAGTATGTTTTTTTTTGTTCAAATTATCATTATATGTTATCCAATCCGATCTATCAATGATAAATTTCGTGAAGATGGACGTTGGCACATCTAAACCGAGTTACGAACCGAAACCAAAACAGTAACTAAATGAATGAATTTAACAAACCAAATCAACAAGAATCAGGATAGGAAAGAAAAAGATTTTTTATCATTGTTATGCTTAAAGGAGCTGTTCAACGATTTTAACACAATGAACTTTTAGTAAAGAAATTAAAAGAAGCAAAAGGAAATAAGAATCCAAACATCTAAATCATTCATATCGTAATCTCTAAAATCGAATAGGATAGAACAAGAAGAAGAAGCTTAAGCACGTTCTCCACGAATCCTTCTAGCCAACTGGATATCCTTGGGCATGATTGTAACCCTCTTGGCGTGAATAGCGCAGAGATTGGTGTCTTCGAACAAACCAACAAGATATGCCTCAGCCGCCTCCTGGAGAGCTAACACTGCGTGACTCTGAAACCTCAGATCCGTCTGCAAACAAATTCACAAATTTAACCTAATTAGTAAAAACCCTAATTCCAGAGGAAACCAACTAATTGATCAGCCGCCGCTAAGGACAAGAGAAATCAAAGAGTGAGTCATCGTCAATTTACCTTGAAGTCCTGGGCAATCTCACGAACAAGACGCTGGAAGGGAAGCTTGCGGATCAACAATTCAGTGCTCTTCTGGTACTTACGAATCTCACGAAGAGCGACGGTTCCAGGACGGTAACGGTGAGGCTTCTTGACTCCTCCCGTGGTGGGAGCTGATTTCCTCGCCGCCTGTATTCACACAACATTAGTAAACCCTAGATCCCCTTTTCAACCAATTTCGCTAGCATACAAGACCATGACCTCAAGATTCAATCCCAAATCAGAATGATTTCGTTAGAAAATAAAAGATGGATAAACTCAAAATTCAGCCCGATTTCAGAAAACTCAGGATTCAACCCCCAATTTGAAAACCCTAGAGATATACTTTTTAACCGTAAGAAATGAAAGAAAGAAAGAAGAAGAAGAACAAACCTTGGTGGCAAGCTGTTTCCTGGGAGCTTTACCTCCGGTGGATTTCCTAGCGGTTTGCTTCGTACGAGCCATTGTTTTCTCTTCTTCTTCAAAGACGCGACTTCTTGAGAGGATTTGCAAACAAGAGAGAGAGAGTTTATGTTTTTTTTTTTGATTCGGAGAATATGTTGTGTGGGAATAGTAAAAGGTTATTATGAATATATATATATATATATATATATAAGTGAATGTTTAGTCGGTTAATCTTAGGAGATACATAATGATTCCAATCTTCACATTTTCGATGGTTAAGATTCCGTCCAAGCTGACGCTGGCGATCCGCGTCTTCGCTTCTGATTGGTTATTACTTATGAGGATCGATGACGTGGACATTTGTGTTTCTTTTCTACGTTTGTCGTTTGAAGTTAAAGGAGTATCTGAGGGGTGGGGCGTTTAAACAAAAAAAAAAAAGCAAGAGTAACTAACGACGACGATATGATCAGCTTGTTTGGTAATTAGCGATGATGGGCCGATTCGTATCTCTTCGTATGATTGTAGCGTTGTGTTCAGGCCCAACTGATAAGGCATCGAGAGTTTCGTCAATTGTGTTATGATCGATCTGAACCAAATTTGGTCCGACCGCTCCTAACCGAGTACCGGAAACTGATCGGATTTCAGTCTTACCAAATCCCAACTCAGCAAAATCCGATCCGAGCGATCGAAACAACCTTCTTTTCCTTGACCTACCGTGATACTTACGGTAAGTGGCAAACGTTAATGTTTGTTAAAGGAAATGCAGCTAAACTCTATCGTTTTGTCTAATTTATGAAGAACCCTTAAAAGGAGTTAGAGATGCTAAAAATGTACAGTTGCTTAACTAAATCCAAAGATTGCATGATCCACGCACCACACTCGTATGTTTCGCTCACTCTCATTCACCGTAGACTAGAGTCCTTAGAATAAAATATGTCTTTTCTTTATCTTATGAAGTAGACATAAAGATACCATTTAGACTTTAGTTTAATCTTGCTGATATATATGCTTTTATAAAGTGTAAATGCAAACTTTTAACAGAGTACATGTTTTTGTGTTCGACACGTATAATTATTTTTTGCTAAAAGGTTTCTTTTAAAAAGAATTGAGTGGATAGTTAACGAATTCACTATTCAAAAGTATACGTAGAAAGCTATGTTTTTAATACCAAACATTGTTCCAGTAACAAGTACCCTTCTGCTTACGGCCAATTACACCTAATTTGATTTACTTATTTTAAAATAATACCAAGTGGTCTTCTCAATCTATGAAATGTAATTAGATGTAACCAAAATTTTCTCTCTAATTTCGCTTTGGTAAGGAGATGAGCAAGTTATAGGCTTTTCTTATCGTCTTTCTAGTTATACTGTCTGAATATTAATTAATGTTGGTTTTTTTCAAATGACATTATTACCCAGAACTATTGATCGATGAGATTGTTGAGTATACTTTGTAACACACAAAATTTAGTGATTGATCCCAATTAAAGCTCAGTTTTTCAATAAATACATATAAGCTCAAGTTGAGCATAAAAACATGGTGCACGAGGGAAGAAACATGCAGTCCAATGCCGATGATCATACCATCGATTTGATCTGTGGTACTTCTTTTTTTATATACTTAAAAAAAAAAAGAATTCAACCGAATACAATAATACTGTAACAGCTGCAGATGTATTAATGTGGGATTAAACGAGAAGATCCTTAGAACCCAACAAGGAAGGGTTAGTAAGTAACCAATGGGGAATGTATCCAAGTTTCAATAACATGCAATTGAATTGACTCAACTTCATACATTTGAAATTAATGAATATGTTATATAATCCTTGACATATATATTAACTTGCTAGAGTTGAAAATGGTATAAGCGAATCACACGCCACATGCAGTATATGTGATACGTATGAAAGATGGTCTTGATCATTGACCATCACCATCCAATGGGTACATCAGTGATCAGTCCCACACTTTATTTTAAGGTGATAATTTTTACATAACCCATGAAGATAATATGATTTGACGATATATTGAGAGACAAGTTTACAATTTTCCCCCAAATATAAAACGAGAAATATTTTTGGGTTCTTGTTGCTATTACCACCAATGGAGCTGAGAGCGTGAGACGTTAGCGCACATGGGGGCGTGGACACATTCGTAAACTACAAAAATTAATGCTTTGGTACGCCGCATTACATTATTGTTCGTTTCTTAATTAAAGAAAATAAAATTGCTTATCTCTATAGAAAATGAATTAAATCGATTTGCCTCTGCTAACATAATCTTTACAACAGAAATTTTTGTGTTTTGTTTATACGACTTCAATATAAACAATTGGATTTATTTTTCCTTCCTTTTCCAGCTACGCATGTGATGGGTTTCATTTCTTTCTTTCTTTTTAATTAAATAAAAACATCATACTTCCGTGCGCTGAAATTATACAAAAAGTCTTAGAAAAAAAAAACACAATTTAGTGTTCATGAAAATTAGTTTATTAGTTTTTTTTTCTCTAAACATTTATATATATTAGTATTAGTTTAAGTTCGAAGATTTGAAAGCTTTGACCCTAGAGCGGCGGTTGTAGCCACGCCTTTGCTTGTACGAGCACGAACTTATTTGTAGCATTTTTTTCAACATCTTATAACATTTTAAATTGGATTGTTTATATACAAACAAACACATTTTGCTAACATATTCTCTTTGCTCGATAATATATGGCTGCCTTACATCATGTTAACATTTACGGTATTTTTATATTTGCCGTCGCCTCCCATAATACATAACGTTTTGCTGGTCAATATAAATCACCTCAGTTTGCTTTGAGAATTATAGCTTACCTTATATAATTAAATCGAAAAATTAACTATGGTATGATGATTATATATTATGCTTCTAATAAACTAGTTTTCAGCTTTGTACATATGATCTCATCTAGGTTACTTGCTGTTCTCTCAATGTCAAGGCTTAGATCATTCATCAAACAAACAAGATGATACTAAGCAATTTTGTTTTTTTTTTTTGTCTCTAATGACTGCCAGTTTATCATGTTTTTCCATGATAGTCTCTCATTCATTAGCATATTAATTATATAAAATAAACCTAGCTTGGATTTTATACGAACCAATCAACCACTAAAATTCACATGTCGAATCCATCATAAATCAGACATATCCAATGTATCAAGAAGAAGAAAACATACAAGATCTTTTAATGTTCCTCTTCAAGAATCGTATCTCATATCTCTGCTAGCAAAATAATTAAAACTAATCTCCCCAATATTTAATCTAATCCATAATCACACCCTAATCCTGTTTCATCCGACGCAAGAAGCCAAAAAAGTAAGAACCAATGTGGCAGTATCGTAATTATCTCGAATTCTCAAGGGCATTATGTTACGCTCTTCACTATATAAACCTCGTCCCTCCCAAAACACTCTCAAATCCCCTCCTCTGCTTTCACATCTCCTCTGCTTTCTCACACTCTCCCCTCAAGAAGATACTACAAAGTCAAAGCTTGAGTAATCGGAAAGAATGGCTGGAGGAATCGGGAAATGTAGCAAGATCCGTCACATAGTGAAGCTGAGGCAGATGCTCCGGCAATGGCGGAGCAAGGCGAGAATGTCGTCTGTGAGAAGATGTGTACCGTCAGATGTGCCGTCAGGACACGTGGCGGTCTACGTTGGGAGCAGCTGCAGGAGATTTGTGGTGCGTGCGACGTACCTGAACCACCCAATTCTCGCGAATCTCTTGGCTAAGGCTGAAGAGGAGTTCGGTTTTGCTAGCCAGGGACCGTTGGTTATCCCATGTGAAGAATCGGTTTTCGAGGAATCGATTCGGTTTATAAATCGGTCAAGTCGGTTTACTTGTACCGACGATTTAAAGAAGAGCCGTCACGGAGGTATAAGGAGCAAGCTGGATCTGTTGATGATGGAGTCTCGGCCGTTGCTTCACGGCGTCTCCGATAAAGCTATCATCTGGTGACTCGAAAGATAGCAGTTCAATTCAAAGCCGGTTCATGACGGATACGCAGGAGATGGCCGTGAAAGGTGGGGTGGGATTGTTTCACCTGAGTCGTCCCGGTTCGAATCCGAGTTCAAGTGATTTCTTTTAGTGCTGATTCAACAATTTTCATTGAATTATTATTGTTTCCTCTCATTTTATTTATTTTTTAAAAAATCGACCATAACGATATGTATTAGTGTTGTCGTTGTGTCACACATTACAAAAACAAATTTAATTTATTTATAAAATATGTGGTCTTTTTACATTTTTTTTGTTTCTTCATCATTTATATACAATCAAATCTTATTCTACAACTATGGATAGTTCCTTTATACTTCCACAGTTGTACGTAACATTTTTTTTTTTTTAAGTACGTAACATTTACCATGCTATAAATAGAATTTCATTCGTTAAAATGAGGTTAGTCTTTTCTTAAGCTTTAAACAACTATATAACCACACCAAAATATAGAAAAGATAAATAATCTCAAATGGTTATAAGATTAAAACGCATGTAGTCAAAACTTACACCAAACGCACCTACAAAATTTGGAATCCATTTTTTGCAAGACTGTCGTGCGACCAGGTCGACCAGACCCAATTTACGATCTAGTAGTTCCAAAGTTAGATTTTTGAAACTTAAATATCAATATAATCCCGAGTCAATTTTGTTTAAGGGTTGGCTTGCACTGTACTTGGGGGCGGCCCTAAGCCAACAGTTGCAACTTGCACATACTTGATGTTTTGTCTAAAGTCCAAAGCGGCGGATAAGAAAATAGAGTGGCCGGCCGAGACGGACCGGGCTGGGCTGGGCCATGAGAGAAGGCAAAAGCTAATGTCAACCACTCCGAGAAAAACATCGTGGCAAGTAAAAGTCCTCGAGAAAATTTAGTCCGTAATGTATGCGTATCCAAAAAAAAAGCGCATGATAAAAATCTGTAAACATGTACTTAAGAGTAGCTTAACATTCTCTGCAACTTGTAGTTTCTTCTAGTTACAAACGAATGATGATGCAATAAAGTGGTTTAGTAACGTAAATCCGTAATCTGATGTGGGAAAAAAAGAGAGAAGAAGAGCCGAGGGGGGGACACAATGGGACCTCATATTCACATGTTACAATGGTACTTTGTCGGAGAACATGAAATATTTCCCCAAAAAAAAAGTGCCCTCTCTCTCTCTCCTTTCCCTTTCTTCTGCGTCACCTCACGCTCGCCACACGTCAATTGCAAAAGCACATATTTTCACTATCTTCCCCCCTTAACTTCTAATTCTATTCCAGTTACACCCGTTCTTTATTAAAATTTGCATCACCCACCACCTTTCTTGCCATTAATTTACAGTCTTACAGAGTAGCAGTCAGAAATCGCCATTTCCTTCCTTGGCTGCTCTCCAACGTTTACAAAAAAAAAAGTATCAAGTGGAACCGTTGTAAAGTATTGAATATGGACCACCAGAGAAAAAAAAATATAAAGATAAAGAAATGTTCTAATAACCCAAAGCTTAATTGGACTATTGTTATCCTAAGCCACCGGGAGAGTCAACATATGACAACTAATCTTCTCAACTAATACAACAAGACACCGCCTTCCAATATCTACCTTTTTTACATTTTATACTCCAACTTCTTCTTATTATAAACTACAGAGGATCCAATGTTGAAACTCAGAAATAATGTATACGAAAAATTGAATTTTATAAAAAAATTTACTCCAATATCTTTGTTTTATCTTCTCGTCCGTGATTTCAGAGTGGAAAAATAATGTAAAAAAAACAAACAAGAACAATAAAGAAAAAATGTTTTGACCGTAACAGTAACTTGTCACTTAATCCAAGCGTAAACCAGTAATGAGAATCCAAGACCATTGCCGGAACCAGTACCAGAACAACCTCCACCGCCGTACTCCGCCTCGTCAGCACTACTAGCCCACTCCATTACCGACGAGCTACAAGCCGACGAAGCCGAAGAAATCGAAATCGAAGACGACGACGAGCTCCTCTTACTCTTCACAAACCTCTTCCTCATCTTCCTCCACTCTACAATCCCTTTAATCCCCAAACTAGTCCCACACTGCTTCGGCTTTTTCCACAGAACGATGCCGTTTCTATTTCTCTCTTCTTCCTCTTCTTCTTCTTTCCTCTTCGTTTCGCAAACCTCCTCTGCTTCTGGATCACTCTCGAATCTAAACATAAACACGGCGTGTCCTCCTCCTCCGTCGCCGGAGTTTTTACTCTGAAACAACCAATTGTAAACATCCCAAGAGATCTGCACATGGACTCCATCGATTTCTACTTTCTCATTCCCTCTAAATTTCCATCTAAGCCTCTTGATCTGCAAGACCTGTTTCGAATCCACGCTGAAACAGAGCTTAGCGTCTTCGTCGACACGGCAATCAATAGATATCTCTCTGTTCTTCCCTCCGAACCTCGCCTTCGTCGTGAATACCCTAGCTCCGAACACATGCTCTTTCCTCAAGAGAAGAGCTTGTGGATTCGTCGAAGGTTTCGCCGACTTAGCACGAGCGTAAGCTTCTTTGACAGAGTCTCCGACTAACAGCCCCATCTCTCCGTCGACGACAACGGCGATGTAGAATCCGGATCTAGGCTCGGATCCGGAGTCGAATTTGGCCTTGGTCAAGTCCCAGAAGACTTGGATTTTGGGAGAAACGAATCTGGATCCACGTTTTTTCCAGAAAGCTAATGTGTTCAAGTTGAGGTGGAAAGAGACGGCGGAGGAGAGGGAGAGATCGGCGGAGGAGAAAGAGAGTGGCGAGGAGTGGTTGTAGTAGTCTTGTGAGTGGAGGAAGAGATTCACAGAGTGGCCTCCTAAGAAAGTTCGAGACCATGTCAAATAAAAGACGCCATGATCTGTTTGGTAGAGGCAAGTCGTTAGATTCGGATCGCCGGAAGATAAAGAAGACGGTGACTGAGACGAAGGCGGTGGCGGCGGATGATTGTGATTATCGGCGGTAGGGCGGAGCCAAGACGGAGACATTTTTGTGTGTGTGTTTCTGATTTTGGAAAGAAGAAAGAAAGAAAGAATTAAAGAGAGAGAGATTTACGGGAGTTGTGTTTTTTTTAATAATTTTTTTGGGTTTAAAAAGGGAAATTTATATAATGAGCTGTTAAAAATTGCATAAAATGGGAAAGGTTATAATAATAAATGTTTGGCTCGAATCATACGTAAAAGAAGAATGCGGATGAGGATTGATTGCGACATAAGAAGAAGATTTGAAGAATTATACGAATATATGGAACTATATGTATGAGCTAGCAACTTGTAAACTTGGGCATGAACTGACTTTGTCAACTTGACTTTCTTATATATATGTCTATGGACTATTACATACAGCTTATACCTTCTTTTTTTTTGGTGAAGTCAGAAATAATTTTAGTGGAATATATATGAATGACAAGATAAACAGTAAAAAGGCGTCTTTGTGTTGTTGTGTGTAAAAAAAATTATTAACTGTTCCGAGTCTGAGGAACACGTTATGATAGCAGCCTGCACACTTGAGGATTTCATTGGAGAACATAATCAAGTGGTAGGTGTTTGGGTCAATTATTTCACATGATACACACTCAAGTTTTAACATAACCCATTTATATAACTCTACAACTAAGATAATGCATCATTTTATATGTTATCTTAAACGCTAAATGCATGAAGATAAATACTTCAAAGCATGCTTAAACCCTTAAGCTTAGACAAAATAATGGTAGTATGTGTTACAAAAGTAGTCAGCTCTTAAAATATAATTATACCTTTGAAAAATATCATATATACACAATTGGTTCGGTCGAATAGATATACAAGTATAATTTACACTGCGTAAACATCGTTTTCGGTTTATATTTTAACTAGTTCTTAATTAATTTATTGATATCTCGAGTTATTCGGATACGTTGGCAGACAGCTAAAAGGAGGTGGATGAAGTACTCATTGAGTCATTGAAATAAAAGGCATTATATCCATATTATTAATTTGATATCTTTTTGTTAGATCTGTATTTTAATTTCTTACACAGAATAAAACAAGATGGGTTTTGAAACTTTAGCTTCAAGAAACTGAAACTCGTTAGACAGCTAAACTTGTTTTGCATTTGTTTATATAAATATAATTAGCTACGTGTATATTTAACACCTTCATTATAAACCATGGTTTATTAATAGAATTTGTTGTTATACACCAAATTTTTAACGTATTCGAACCTGTATTATCAAGTTTATATGATAATTTTAAAAAAAATTCAACCACTTTGGTATAACTCATATAGTCATGTACAAGATTAAATTTACGAGATTGAATAAACTTCAGAGTACGTAAATTTAGCTTTACGTGATAATAAGTCTCAAGAAAGAGTCTTTTAATTTGCTGTCTCATCTCATAATCATTGGATCATATCCACATGTGTTGTATTGTACAAAGCTAAGTGAGATATTTGATACCAATTACCATACACAGTAATAAACAACTTGAGATGTAATAATTACGCTTAATTATAGTTTGATGGTGCATATGTTTGCTTCAAAATTACTCTCTGTCCACCCTCCATATCCTTGAAACGAACCATTTGGATTTGTCTATGTAATCACGAACCATTGAATAGTAATTTTGTCGCAGCTTTTTTCTACGTTAAAATTTGTTGCTTATCTCGTTTTTTATAAGAAATAAAATTGGTGTTTTGGTTGATAGAGAAGGACGACGAGTAAAATGGTTGACTGAAGTTTCTTTCTCGTGTGGGAAGACTAAGACCAGGTCAGTTTGAAACGACAACACAACACGTTTTTGATTTTCAACTTAAACCATCTCTCTCTCTCTCTCTCGAGTCTCCTCCTCCAAACTTCATTTTCTTTTAGTGTGTGTTCCTCCCGCTCCCGGTCCCTTCTTTAGATTCTCCCTTTCATCTTTTTTTCAATCAAAAACCTTTTTTTTTCTTCTTTATAATCAAACACCTACTTTGTTCATTAATATCTTTTGACTAAACGACATGTGTTTTGTTTCTTTACTAATAGTTTTATTTTGTGGTTAAACTATTGGGTATGATTGGTAATCCTCTACCAGATTGACACAATAATTTGGCCGTTCAATGAAAAATCCTGGTGACCAAAAAAAAGATAGGCTGTAGAGGGCAGGAAACAAAATTTGTATGTGTTTGGATATTTTGATAGTTAATCAGATCCGAGAACCTTGTTTGCGATTTACATACAACATTGTTCCATTCCATGTGAGGAGGGGTTTTCACTAACTTTTAAATCACTTTTTTTTTTTTTAACTTATTTGTATTTCAGAGTGGTCTTCTATATAATACAACTCATCGGCGGAATATTAGCTGCCGCGAAGTAATTGAGATCTCGGATTTATATGTATGCTGGTGGGAAATAGCAGGTTCATGTCTCCAAACTCCAAAGTCATATTATTTTAGTGATATACTATACATACGTACCCAAAATGTGAGCCACTTATATAGTCCGTCTTAATTATTCTTTATACACACGAAAAGAGAAAAAAAAAAAACAAATTGTGAACCACTGCATCGACAAATAAATCAATAAGGATATATATAATTAGATAATGCAAAGGTCCACCAGATCCTTCGTCTGCAACCACGACTTGTAGCTAGTAAAAGTAAAATCACACTGGACACGAGTTTTTTTCGTTCCTAAATCCCCTTCTCTTTTTATATGTTTCTTCAAACTTTGATTATTTGGGTTTGGTGAACATTCCTCAATAATTATTTATACAGTCCGCTTGTGTTGTTATACGCACCGTTTCTTGGGTTGTCTATTTCGAAGACAGACATAATCAAATCGCATCCATATCATATCCCATACAATTTTATTTATATTTCTTATATTCGTTCGTTGTCAAAATTAATTATCCAACAGTAAATATGCAAATTTTGAGGTTTATCTGCTACTCTTGTAATTTTTTTCTACTCTTTCCGGATACTAGATAAAGAAACAAACTTTGTATCCCGTTAATCATTATGTAATATATATAATCAGTTTTGAGTTTAAGAAGATAGTGAGAGATATATTTAACATGTGTGTGTAATCGATGGGACAAGGTTTTTTATTTACTCAAAAATTTTAAATTACAATAACAAAGATTTTCGTATAAAAATTATTAAAGTTTGTTTGAAGTTTTCTAAACTTGTAATAAAATTATATGATTTCAATTACGAGTGTTGTTGGACCATAACCAAAAAAGAGAGAGAAACCAAAAAAAAAAGAAAAAGAAATCGGATAGCACCGGTTTATCAGACCTTGGACTACGTTTGACTATACCGGTTTTTATTTGGAACCAATTCTATTAATTTTGGTTTAACTTCCGGTTCGGTGTGGAAAGCACTTAATCCCTAAATATTTTTATCGTTCCCTCCCTCTTCTCCTCCGACGGCTCGATACCTGCCTTCTCCTCTGCTCGACAACTCCAAATCGCCGGTACTTATTTATTCTCCGACGGTTTCCATTTTCTCTACTCTCCTTTGATATTTTAATAAGTGTGTTTATGTTGAGCTTAAATTCCCTGCTAAGATGTCTTAGCTCAATAGAGACTTCACCTAGATTAATCTCGGCATCATCGTAAAATTTTATAGATTTATAAAATCGAGCTCGTTGTGTTGTTTTTCGGTATTGGAATCTAATTTAGATGAGTGTATAGCCGTGTGTTTTAAGTAGGAAAGGATGATTTTTTTTTTTTTTTTTGCTAGACACCATAGCTTAAACCTTGTTTTCACTCTTGAGTACAATGATTTCTATTAGAGAAAGATGTCGGAAGCAGAAAAGAAGTTGCCTTTCATACCAGAGCAATGGTCGGATGCAGCTACCTCTGTTTCCTGCAGTTCGTTGCAACCAGTTGTAGCTTTGGTCTGTGGTCCTAAAAACAGTGGCAAAAGCACATTTTCACGCAATCTTGTTGAAGTTCTTCTCCAAAGGTCATTTATTAAAATGCTTATCTCCAGTCCCTCTCTTTTAGTGAGTATTTGAAAATCTGTGTATCATTCGGCTAAAATGAAATCAGCATTGTGGAAAAATGTACTTTATTTGTGAATGTTGTTTTCTCAGTGAAGAATGTCTCGTTTACCTCCTTACAATACGCCAATCGAACGAGAATTTTCACCAGATTCAGTTTTTTTCTCTGCTAGTTTGAATGGATCCAGTATTTTTTCTATATTGGCTTGTAATGGTTGCTTTGTTTGCGTTAGGTTTTGCTAAAAATTAACCTTTGTGGTTTACAGATACAAAAGGGTCGCTTATTTGGACACCGATGTTGGCCAACCTGAATTTACTGCACCTGGTTTTCTTTCTCTCACAGTTGTTGATAAATCAATTCTAGGTAACCAACCACATACTTATTGCTTTGATGATTGTTGTTGTTTGCATTCCGAAAACTTGTTTTCGTAATGCTGTTTCTGTCACTTATGTTTTTGGTTTATTTACTTTCTAGAATCGGATTGGACAGTTCCATGCGTAAAGACACCTGAGAGGTAGTTTGATTCTAGCAAATTTTCTTGGAATCTGTAGCACCGAGTCTTTGATAAATTGAAGCCTTATTCTCGTTTCTCTTTTACTATTTGATGTTGCAGATGCTTCTTCTATGGTGATGTTTCTTCAAAGAGGGACCCAAAGGCATATTTAACATATGTATATACCTTGTTCGATTACTACCAGCTACACTTCTGCAAGTCTAGCGAGAACAAAACTCAACTGCCGCTTGTCATTAACACACCAGGATGGGTTAAAGGTAACTCACTCTCTTTAGTCTTTATCCTTTCAAAACAAAAGGTATAAAATAATGTTGAACAAAAGAAACTACAGATTATATTCTTTCACTAATATAATGGATTCACAATCTTTAGGAATTGGCTATTATTTATTGGTGGACATACTGAGATATGTGTCTCCTTCCCATGTTGTGAAAATCAACATCTCTGCTTTTAACAAGAACCTACCAGCTGGGTTGTTCTGGTTAGACGGTAATGAGGATGAGACAGCTCATTTGATAGAGATTCAATCTGCTTACCAAGACAGATATAATCAATCGTAAGTCCTGTACAATGCTAGTAATCGGAACAATCTCATCGATCTGCTTTATTGTCTGTGTAGTTACATATTTTTTGTATCCTGTTTGTGCAGCCTTTTAATACATAAGGATGCTCACTTATTGAGGGACATGCGTATAATCGCCTACTTCAAGCAATGTATTAAAGGAAAAGAAGTAAACACGATCAAAGAACTAACCCATGAACTCGCTTCCCATACTCCTTATGAAGTTCCAATATCGAGTTTAACAATCAACCATCTCCATTGTCAGGTAAAAGAAAACAATATAAAGGGTCATATCATTCTAATCTATATGATTGATGCCAGTAATGGGTTTCTCTTCTGTTTTGTTCTCTCTAGATCCCAAGTTCCGAAGTGTATTATAGTTTGAATGCTTCCATTGTTGGTTTGGCCATTAGCAACGACGTGTTTGAAGATTTGCCATCATGTGTAGGTCTTGGTAAGTTGCTGATTTATCCATTGCAATCAGTGAAAAGCCGGTCGAATGTGGGATAATGGTCATTAATTGAAATTGGTGTTTTGGATGTTTGTATAGGAATCGTGAGGGGAATTGACACAGAGAGAGGAATCTTATATGTGATCACTCCAGTTCCAGAAAATGTAGTTGAGAAAGTGGATCTTCTATTGCAAGGCTATATTCAGATACCTACTTGCCTCTTAGAGGTGAAGGATTACAGGTCGCCATATTTATCTGCCAATGTCTTATCTTCCACCTAAATTTTCTTCTTGTAAGACATTTTTGCTCAGTTTCTTTTTTCTGTTTACTCTGTATCACTTCATCTTACCTAAGTTTCGGTTTTTAAAAATATATATTTGTAACCTCATTACGATGTCTTACCTAAGGTAAAACCCAAAAAGTAAATTATCAGACATTGTATTTGGACATGAGTCACGTGACCCTTCTCACAGAAACAACTTGGACTGATCAGATTCTTCAAGATAGCATTTGTTTTTTTTTTCTATGGGGGTAAAGAAATGTAACCAATAGATTGATTATACTGCATTGAGACCGAAATATACAAGTACACAAAAAAAAAGGAAAAATCCTAATCGTAGGAGAAGAATTGGTGATTTTGTCCGTCTAAAACCCTTTACCTTTAATATTAGAGAGGAAAAAAGACTTGCAAGTCAAGTTTCCCCACTATCCCATACTTCTCATTGACTGCCACTTTTCAAATATTTTCTTCACAAATTGAAATACTGATTGCGTTACTTTTATTATACAAAAATTTAATTAATTTCAAGTTGGGGAAAGAAAGGATACGGAGCACACAACTTTTTGGGAGGTCGAAAGTAAGAATTTTTGAAGGAGAAGAAATAAAAGATGAAAAAACTCGTTACTGTAATGTTCCGATTAGACCTTCTCTAACCCCAATTTACACATCAAAACCGCCTACCGGTCAATATTAAACCGATTCTTAAAACCCCGGTTTTCTATGGTGTTTATTTAACAGTAGTGATCCATGGAAGTAGATTTGATGGGTTTTAAGGTTCCACCAAGTTCCATTGGAACCAAAGGTATAAGAGAATGCAAGACGTCTGTAATCAACGGCCTGTAACTCGGTTCTGGCTGCACGCACAAAACTGCCACTGCTGCTACCTACACATTTACAATACTCACATCTCAACTCTTGAATTCTATCTTATCAAAGCCATACTCTCTACGTTGAAAAATCAGCTAAATCCTTGTCAAATTTTGCCAAACGTACCTGGTAAAGGTGTTTCAAGTCCATTGTGTCTTTGATCGCAGGATCTATGACGCTTGGTAACTTGGTTCTATCTGTGAGATAAGGCATTGCCTGAGAAAAAAAGATTAAAAAAAAAACCACAATTCAAGATTGAAAATGTTCCAAGTCTTAAAAGAGTTTTAGAGAAACATAGTTTGAGATTGTAAATGTATGTACCCAAGTGATGATAGATTGGCATTCACCAGGAGCTAGTTTCTCTACAGGTTTTTTCCCAAGTAAAAGCTCTAACAACACTACTCCAAAAGCATACACATCGCTCTTTTCTGTCAATTGGCCTATTCACATACAAAAAGTATGGTATTGAGTATTGAATGCTTATCATAAGAACAGAACAAGTTTCTTTAAGGATATTTTTTATTTAAATTAAGACTCGACAGGTTAGTTTTGCAAGGTTTACCGTCTAGAAGATACTCTGGTGCAACATAGCCAACTGTCCCTGAAAGTTTATGGTTCTTGTTCTTTGGCCCATCAACAACAGCAAGACCAAAATCTGAAATCTACATTTCATACAAATCTAGAGCTTGAAACAGAGAAACACTAAAGGAATTATGAGGCTAAAGCACCATGACTTTAAACATTGATTTTGCTTACCTTAGCATTGAAATTACTATCCAATAATATGTTGGAGGATTTCAAGTCCCTGTGAATGATCGCTGGATGACAATGTTCATGCAAATATTCTAGTCCCCTGATTAGAAATACAAACCAGAACAATAGCAGTTGTTTTAGTCATTCCAGACTATGAAATGTTGCAAGTTTAAACACGAGAAAACATGCTCACCTTGATACATCAAGTGCAATCTTCATCCTCATAGGCCACGTGATCGCCAAACCCCGAGACGCTCCTGAGAACAAGTATTTGAACCAAAAGTTTCAATTTTTCATGCTCACTTCTTCAACAAGAATATGTTCATCCGTTTCTGTACCGTGCAAGTGAGATTCCAGAGAAACGTTTGGCATCAGCTCATAGACGATGAATCGTGCAGTATCCTTCGTGCTATATCCCAAGAGCGATATTATATTCGGGTGCTGGAGCTTACTCAATATCTCAACCTCACTCTGCAAATCTCAAAGAATAAAACAAAATCAAGAAGATGAAAATTTCGGTTATCTAACTAGTTCCATTGCAAAATGCATATGGAACCATTTACAGCTGCAAACAATCAAAACCAAATTAACTACAAACACAGAAGCGCTTCACAAAAAGAAAGATTTGTATTGCACCTTAAATTCCTTGGCCGCTTCTTCATTGGCGCAGTCTAGCTTCTTAACCGCAGCTTGAATGTTGTTCTCTAAGGTGGCCAAATATACACATCCAAATCCACCTTGACCCAAAATGTTACTCTCCTTAAAATCACTAGTTCCCTTTTCTATCATATCGTAATCGATTAGCGACACCATTCCCTGATTTGCTGTTCTCTTGTCTAATGTTTTTGAGCGACTAAAAGGATTCAAGAACCTTGATAATGTGATTCCACTACATCCACACCCTTCGAAACAAAAATTTGCACATTAAAGACCATGCTCAAACAATGTAGGTTCAGTAGAGGTAAGAACACAGACACATAATTAGCAAGCTTCAAAGATTAAATTCCTAGCTATCAAGATTCATCATGGATTTCAAGATTATGGTCATAAACCGACAAGAACATGAACAATAATTACCTGAGCCCTTAAGGTTCCTTCTCCTATGGCAGACCCAATAAAGCAGAGAGCAAAGTAAGATTATACCAACCAAGGAAAAAGCAGCTGCAAGTGAAATAACCAGCCTCATGTTGTTACTATCTTGTTTATGCAATTCCTTCTCTCCCTGTTGATAATCTGATCAACCAACCAAAATCATTAGCTTTTTCTTGTCATTATCCAAATAAAAAGCCTTCAGATTCAAGAAATTTTGAGAACTTCGCAGACCCAAAAGAGAGAGGAGAAAATAAAACGAATTGCAGTGAAAAGTTCGAACTTTACGGCATGAGAGATAAGCGTTACAATGGAAGACATGAAAAGGGTGAGAGTACGGAGGAAAAATTCTTGTGCCCAGAAGAGAAAACTTCACAAAGCTAAAACCTTTTCCAAGAAAGTTCGAATTTTTTTCTACTTTCTACCAAAAAAGATGCAAGTTATAACGAATAACAAAATATCAAAAGCAACCAGAATTTGTTTCTTCTTCTTGAAATTTCATCCGGAATCAAAATGTGGAAGTAAATGAATAACCCTAAAATCGAGGGGAAGAAAAGAAAAAAAAAAAGAAAGTATATACCAGGAGATAAGCCAGGGGTGAAAGCAGAAGGTTGAGGAGCAAGAGATTCTTGTGAAGTGAGGGACACAACACATGTGGATTGATGAAGAAGAACATAAGCTTGTAGTAAAACAAGAGCTGTAATAACTAATTGCCTCATTTCGTTCTTTCTTTTCCAAAGGAAAAAACAAAAAGGTTACTTTCAAGAACCCACGGATTTTGAATTTGGGTTCTATTAGAGAGGAGACATGATTTTGAACAAGGGAGAAGAAAATTATGTGTAACTCGAAGAAAAGAACAAGAATGTGTTTGAAAGTTTGAGAGAGAGAGAAAGAGATAGAGAGAGAGAGAGAGAGAGAGAGAGAGAGAGAGAGAGAGAGAGAGAGCTCTGTACGAGAAATAGTAATGGTAAAAAGAAAGAGACAAGGGGATTCAGACGAAACACTCTTGAGGTGGAGCAGTTAGTTACCCAAAAAGAATATAAAATATCGTCAGTATAGGGAAACCAATTACGAATACTAAGGCAAAAATATATATCATATTAATGTATGTGTAGACAAAATATATACATTGATAGATATTCATTTATACATTATGTGAATCAATTATTGTGCGAGGTTTAAATACTCTATGTTTTGTTAATTATGGTGTAAAAATAGTCATACAATAAAATCTTCTTTTTTCCTTTTTTGGAAAAATATACAATTAAAATCTCTTTCATTTTTTTTAGATAAAGAAACGTTAAGAAAATTTTATCAGATCCTTTGCCGCATAAAAGAGACAATAAAGTTGACTGGAATATAGACAATCTTAATCCAAATTAATTAGAGTCTAAGTATATGAACCTTGTGAACAAAAAAATATAGGACTTGAAGACAGTCTTTATAAATGTCATCTCGTCCTAAAGTTAGCAACTTCATAAAAAGGGTCTAATTAATTAAAATAATATAATGTATAAACCAAATTTTATTTTTTCCATTCTCGCTTTTTTTTTAATCTCAAAATCAAAGTATGAAAGTCTAAGAACAAAGTGTTATACTTTCTAGACTTGACTTTCCAAGTACTCCATTATATATATGTAAAGTAATTAGAAAAGCTTTTGTTATAGAATCTAAACAAAAAAAGCTGAAAAAACTGGTTCATATGTTTTCTTCACACTTATCAACCTTGGCGATGGGGGTAGTAGAAATACCAAGAGATGATGACTGGGCAACCCCATTAACAATTCATGTGGAGACCATTGAACTAACTATGGAGGTTAGATTTATTTATTTAAATTTTCACTTACTTAACTCTGATAAGTTGAACGACAAAGCATGTAATTAAGCAATGTACACTGTCGTAGTTTTTTTAATCAAATTCACTCTCACGTATGATTTAATCAACTTATTTTAGTTTTTTCATATGTATCATGTGATTTAAACTAATCCTATACTTATTTATTCTTTATGTTATCATGTGATTTTAAACTTTTTTTCTTTTTCTTTGGGGTGTTTTTTTGGAGCGGATGGGTTCCGAGATTCACACTAGAATTGATTTTGTCTGTTTCAAACCAAGTATCACGTTTGAACTTAGATCCAACATGACGAATACGTTTTCAGTTTAAATTAGCAATGAGTTTATTATATATGTATGCTTCCTCTTTATCAAATCCAATTAGCGAATATATCATGTCAATTGTCATGCATGGATTACATTTTGAAGCAAGAAAAATCGAATTATGGATCAGGTTAAGTAGGTCAGGTGGTTCAATCTGAAATATACATGCATGACATGATGATACATCTCATGTTACAGAAACTAATAGTTGTTGTTGTTGTGTAAATAATTCAAATCTTTAAGAAACTACTATCACATGTTAGGTGACCAATGGGTTTGTCTCGAGACATTAAAATATATTTCCTTCCAAAATCCTACAACGGCCACTCTATTATGCTACAACCTTTCTAATTATGCGTATCGATCATTTGTCCTTAATCATACACCATAAATAGATATATTATATATCTCCTTTGTTGTGTGCTTCCATTCTCTTGACTCACAAGTTATCTACATCTTATGAGTGCGATTTAATTATAGTATATCTGAAACACATCTGATACAAGATTGATTGGTTGATTTACTACGTTTGATACTAGTCCCAGTTTCTCTGTAACAATTTTGGCCTTATTACTCTGCTTTTTCAACCTCTCTGTTTTCTTGTTCGTGTATTATGTTTTTCTTTGTTTTTATAGAGATGATTATTGGGGTGAGCAGCAGAAGAGAGATTCATTCTCAGGTCATGACTCATAAATAAAAATATTTTTGGTTTGTGAGTGTTTAGCAAAGGGCTTAAACCCATGTACTATGGTACTGGGTATATATATATAATTAAAACCCTGACCATGAACCATGATTATGATGAAAACATGCATTCTTACTTCTCAGTATGAATACAAATTAAACTGTTTCCTTATAACAACTGGAACCTGATCATAAACCATGATTATGATGAATGCAGCAACATTGTACGTTGATGGAAAAAACAAAGGCATTTCATATTGGTTTTGAGACCAAAAGGAAAAAATAGAAGCGACTGTCTAACTCAAATCCAAATGCGTAGCCACAAGCAAACAGGAAAAAAGAAAAAAAAGAAACCATAAGATAATTCATTGCATAGGTTGAGGTGGGAAAATGTAAGGGATCTTGATCGTGTGGCACTGTGAGAAGTCTGCATCGCTATCAGCTCTGCAGAGGCTGAAACCTCCCCTCTCCAAAGATTGTCTCGACTCGTGGACATCAAGGTAATAGATGTAGTTTCTCTCGAGTCCAGGGAAGGAGCTAGCAGGGAGACAGAAAGGCTCGGAATTTGAAAGGAAAATGCAGAGATCTCCAATGTCTTCAGTGTAAGTAGCTTTTCCTTCATTGCCTATTCTGAACACCTTAAAACCTTTGGTTTCCAAGTCCGGCATATCTTCCATGCCATAAGCGCAGGACCTTAGGAATGGTCATATTGTAACACTGTCATTAATGTGGTATACGATAAAATCAAATGTAACTATTATTACTTGAAACTAAAACAAACAAAAGTCTCACGGGTGATGACTTTTGCCTTTTGGGGTCATGTCTACCTGGTACCAAATGACAAGGAAAGTTTCGCCGGATGATGACTCTACCAAGTGTGGAGTCCTGTAGCACGAAAACAAAAGCTCCTTTTCCGTCTTTGTCAACCTGGGAAGGTTTTGAAAATGCAGCTTTTGCAGCTTGGGGTCGTCCTGGAGATCCCAGGATGCCATGTGGTCGCATCCAGAAGCGGGCTAGGAGAACATCTGATCTCTCTTGGAAAACATGACATGGGAAGTGAAGAAACTGGGGTCTTTGATTCTGACGTTGGTCCATTCGGAGCCATGAGCTGGCTTACACAAGCTGAGTTGAGGTCCCAAGAACTTGACAGCCACAACACAGTCGTCTTCCTCAGGAGAAGGAGAGGACATGGCAACGTTGGTGACAATCTGGGTCTGACAATTAGGTAGAGTCACAAGAGGAGGCAGTGAAAGGCGTTTAGGGTTTGACTCTCATGCACTTGGGTTCAGATCGTCTTGGAGACACACCACACCCTTCTTTAGGGTAGCAACCCATCCTTGGGATGCTCCAACTGTTGATTTTGCCTCTAGCAACTCACTAGGGATCTTCTGTTTAGTAGATATTAATCCTGTGTCAGAAAGATAGTCTATGTCATCTCCAAAAGGATTTTTGCCAAAGACCAGATAGGGTGCAAGACGGGCTACGGAAGATGAAAACAATCGAAAGCTAATCTGCCCAAACCCAAAGAGATAACATTTTATACCAAAACATTAAAGAGATATAAAAAAAGGGAACAAAGAAGTTGTCTCTCTTCTTATACTACTTACCTGAGAATCTTTCTGAGGAGAGAGCTTGGAGAGTCTGGAGACAAACTGAGACATTTTTGTTTATCTGCTGGTGGTGATCATGAGCTTCTTGATTCGCTTCTCTAAACTGAAGTTGTTGTTTTGTTTGTCAACAAAGCGTGCTTACCAAGGAGAGAATATTGGACTAGGCTTTTAAACTATTTTGGAGAACTTTTCAATGTTATATGAATATATCGAAAGATTGTTAAAGACTTTTTTTCTTGGAGGGTTTGGTAAGATTCACTATCAAAATTTCAGGTGGTTTTTGAACGACAATATAAACTTTTTCACACTTTCATCCTTGCTCAAGGTGCAACCCTAAACCCTAATCTCATGTACACTAGTAGTCCCTGGTGACTTGTGAGATGTGGATGGGTCGCTAATCAAATATGAATTGATCAAGCAAAGTTCCAAGACAAGATTTCGAATAACCACAGTTACAGGAGAATGACAATAGGGAATCTAACAGAGATTGTTGTAACACCCAAAAGATGAGTAGAATTGTAGTGCTCACGATTTTTTACTAATGACTCTTCATCTTTTCTTCCACGAGCTCGATGCATCGATATAGAACCAATTCAATTGGGTTCAGAAGGCATACAGTGTCAAGTGAAGATTCATGGCCGTGATCCTCCTTGACGTTCTCAGCGATGCTGCAGCTCACAAGACTTCGAAGAGGCATAAGCCACTCTTTGTAAGCTTTCTCCAGATTCTTCTTTGCTAAAATTTCACTGCCTACTCTGCTCGTCTCTTCACCTGCTTCATTTTCTGTAATTTTTCCTTGTCAGATAAACAATGACTAGAACAAGAAAGATTAAATGTGATCTGATTTGAATAAGATTACGTTTACATACGCAAAATATAGACATAGATTTCACGTATCTGCAGACAATTTCATTTGGCACATGTATATGTGTGTATACTTGCAATAGGAAACATGATTAATATGAACTCAAAACATAAAGTAATCACATACTATATATTAAAACATTTTCATCATGGATCAGTAATTGGTTTCTAGAAGTTCAAGTAACTAGCAGGATATTTCTAGTCATCAAAAAACAAAACACTATCCAGCAATTTGTGATTAGAAACACCAACTATACTTAGCTATCTAATCATTTCAAATACTAACTCGGTAATATTTTAAGGAATCGGGTTTCCTCCATTTACTAGTAATGAAGTGAAATAACGAAGAGTCATTTCTTTGAGTTACCTCTTGAATAAAATAACAATGCAAACCTGTAGAGATTCAGTGCTGCCAGAACCTGGACAAACATCATACAAGACTATCACACATGTGGCTAAATAAATATCAGATCTTAAAAATATTTAGTACAGCAAACAAAAACATGCTCTCCCAATTTTCCATCTGACCCTCTCATTCTTATAAATGGTGAAAATTCTGGGATCACAGTTTTTCT